TCAATACTTCAATATATTCGGAAATGGTAGATGTTCCATTGCTGAAATTCTTCAGAGCACCTGCTCACCTCATCCACCCCCACCTTCAGTCGTGCCATCACCGCTGGTGAAGTTTTGGGCATGTCCTACAGCAGCGGTGGATGGTACGAAGACCTTGGGGGCCCTTGGTATTTTGGGACCGAATCTGGTAATTAATGGGTATGTCACGGGGATACCATAGGAAAATACTGGGGAAATAATGAGAGACAAGAATATGTACATATATATATATATATGTATATATGTATATATGTATATAGTTGAAGAAAAAAACATAATATATCATAATATATATATATATATAACGTGGGGCCCCCCAGTTATAAGTTGGTTTATAAACCCCCATAACTATAGTTCTAAGTACCATAAACCATAGTTATTGGAGTATAAACCAACTTAGCTATCTTGGGGGCCCCACATTGTATTTATATACCTTGGCCCTCCAAACCTGATAAAAACGTAGGGTCTGCCTGAAAACACGAGGTTTTCAATGAAAACACGAGGTTTCGTTTTCGGACCACTTTTTGGGTTTTTGCCGTCCCCGCTAAATCCTGCTCATGTCCTATTTGGACCTCGCAAACTTCGCTGGCATCACCACAAATGCTGGGAGCTGAGGATTGGGCAATTGCCAAAGTTCATGTCACATATCAAAAGCTAGGCACATCTTCAAAATCCAACTGATAAAGTCGAAGTGTCAACACATTGGATAAGAAATTCAGGATGGATTAAGATAAACAAAGACATATAGTTTCAATGCTTTGGATATGGATATCTAAAGTTCTCATCTCAGCTTCCAGCGCGGATGATGTACCCAATCTTTACCCATTGAGCGTAAGCGCTCTGTAGGTATCGATCACAAACGCGTTCTGAAATATGTGTTTCGCTGACATGCCTGCTCAGTCTACTTGCTCTACCTATGTAGTCTTCATCTTGTTGCACACTGGTGCACAAAATTGACATCACAGGTCCCAAAGAAGAAGCTTCCAACATGCTTAAAAAGAGGTGGTGCATTGCATGTGCTTTTGGTTGAATCACAAAATGTCGCAAGTTCCTTTGGAAAGCTCGCCATGCACAGTCAGAGTAACGCCGCAAGAAGCGAAAACCGTAGTTGGCCACTTCAGCAGCATCACTACTGCAAAGCCAAACTCCGGAGGTATAGAGAATCCTGATGAATTTGTTTGCTGCCACAGCCGCTTCTCCACCAAGAAAGAGTAGGTCATCATCAGACCAGTCCTCACTCAAGAACCTGGACTCCACCCACAACAAAAGGGATGTGGATAGGTCCCCTTTGTGCCAGCCTCCAGTCGGGTAAACTGTAGTGCTGACCCAGTTGATCATTTCCTTGGTCAAGCGCTGAACATGTGCTGGTCGACCATTTGTAGAACACCAACCCAGGTATTTCGCAGTGAGCTGTTCGAAACGGGTGTCAATGCTTGTCCCTGGCTCACGTTGAGACAGCAGAGCAATCATAGATCCAAGGTAGTTCTTTGCTAATCCCAAATGAAAACAATGGAACAGGTCGAAATGAAACAGCCGTGCCAGCTGGTTTTCACCCGGGGCATGTGGAAGAACTTGGAATGGACTTGGTCTTGAGAATGGCGACTGTTGTAGAAACGTATTTCTCCAAGTAGGATGCCTTGTGCCAACCTGCTCGAAAGGCACTCCAGGTTGCCCTGCCGCACATAAGTGACAAATTCCACGGCACACCCGTGGAGCCCCTGCAGCGCTGCGATGCTTTGTTGCATTCAAAAATGAACGCTCTAAAGACCCAGACTTTTGAAGCCATGGCCAGTCACCAACAGTTCCAACACAAACTGCCCACCATTGCGTGCCAAACCGATCAGTCACCCCAGTGGATGAAACATGAGCAAGTTCCACTGCCAATCTTTCCAGCAAAATGTCAAACACGTAGGATTTTTTCCGGTGTAAGCACTTTTATGCATTGCACATGCCAGGAAACGATTTGTGTACGAGTGCCCCATGAAATTTGGTAGCATTTTCAGGTAATGCTTTCGAGATGCAGTGCGCAGCTCCACTTCAACTCCTCTCCCAAGAACACTGTGTATGTTGGTGACAAGAAAGGCACTCCTCTTTTTGGAGCGGCCTTCGTCCCCATGTAACAACACAGGAATTGTACGTCCCAGGATGATCTCACCGTTTCTCGCCCTTTCGAATATAGGATGAGTTGGTTCTTGCAATTCAAAATTCCTCCAGGATGCTGTTAAAATTGCATGTTCTCGATCATGGTCTGGGCGAACTAGTCCAACAAGTATGTGCATGCAGTTGTGAAGCAACATCATGGATAGCCAATCCCGGAATCGTAGGAATGGGATTTTCGGGTCACCATCACGGAGTTTGAGATAGCGTTTCTTCAGTGGTAACGCTAACCTGCATTGTTTTGTCATCAATCTATGACAATCTCTTTCACCATTTTTGGGATCTCGTTTTGAAAGGTTTATCAACCCACCAGACTTTGCGGCAGAGCATTCCCCCACATCCGCCACGAAATCGCGGGCTGTGCGAATCACAGCAGCACATGAAGCCTCAGCGCAGGGACTGCAGTCAGAGAGAGGGCAATGTAAAACAACAAAACAGTGGAAGTGTGGTAACAAACTTCTCTAGAAGTCCGGGTGGGTCAAGGTTATTTACCATAATGTTAATATCCAAATGGACATGCACTGCAAATGAAATATACACACTGCGTTGACATGCACGCTCTTTGCAGCGATCTCTCTTGACCTTTTTGTTTCCATTGTTTTGCATGCGCTTAGCCTTTCTGTGGGCCAAGTGCTCGAGACGCCACTTTCATACTCGCACCTTCAGTTTTCGCAATTGGCGGTGGGTGCCTAAAGGATCTGTACACTACATAAGTCATAAAGCGATCACCAGAAGATGCCATATCCGGGTCAACAGTGTCACCTCCAGCTCTGACATTCTTACATCCCTTGCTACCTTGGTTGTTGCGTAGGGACGCTTGGTTTTTTCTTTGATGTTGTGCTGGTATTCAAAGATAGTGTAAAAGCCATAAACCAAAAAAAAAAACGTGCTGATGCTTATTAAGTTAGTTGCTCTTGAACTTTTCAATCAGCGCTGCTTCTAACATAGCTGGGGTGTAGGGCTCTGGTCCATAGTGGAGGATGAGCATGTTGCTCCAGCGTTCTCGCGCGGTTGCATATCCATAAATAGGATTTGTCCATCGCCAAATGGGGTTATGTGTGAACCCAAACTTAAATATCAAAGGCTCTTCCTTTCGGAAGAGTGCTAATGTGACATCAATGGCATGTTGTAGGATTGCACCAGCTGCCGCTTTCAGGTCGCACAACTTGAAACTGATCCAACTCAACGTTTGGCACTTGGTTACCAGGGCATCCAATCGCGGTGAAAGTGGGGGCATTTGTTGGCGAGATGCTGGAATTGTTCGATCACGATACCCAATACTGATCTTGTTGTATTTGCACTCGGGATTGTCTTCACGGTTTTCACATTCACGTTTCTCTCTCGCAGAGCTTGCACTAGGATGGCCGGAAGGAAAAAAAGACTGTGGACGTGTCCATGGGAATGGACCTTCACTTTCCTGGATATGTTCTCCGAAACATCGCCAGACCCACAAAAGTAACTCTTGCACGAACAAGACTCATACAGGAAACACTTTAATCTGATATATATATAATATATTATATATATATGACATATAGTTTATCTTACTCTGACATCAAGAAAATCGTCCAGCGTCAGATCTGTGACAAGTCAGCAGTTCATGTAGTTCTTCTTCAGCACTGTCTGAATCAACATGGCACGATTTCATATGGATCCATTTCAGATAGTCGAGGATGCTTGATCAGAAATGTTGAGAATCGAGCAATGATAAGTTAAGATGACCATCTTACTGTACAACAACCTTGCAACGAGTTCTGTGCTCTGAGGCTGGAACACCTTCTCCAATTGCTGCACTCATGCCACGGATAGTGCGACCAGGTTTGACACCTGGCACATGGGTCACCGGAGGTTGGGTTCCAGGATGTTTCGCAAAAGTGTTTCCCATACAGTAAACAAACAGTACATAAGACTAGTGCCCCATGAAACGACTGCAGTACCACACCCTTTGTTTTAAGACTGCAGCACTGCAGATCGATCTAGATGTTGTCTCTGCAATGTTCAACGCTGAATGGATTTGCAGCAAGTAGGCTAAACCTGCTGCCGTGAATTAACTTGGAATACCTTCAAGCTGAAACCTAGCCACACATAGCGTCACCATCAAGTAGAGCCCGTATAACCAGGATATCAATCTACAATGGTCAACCATTGCAATATGGAAACTGAACTGGTTGAAACATCTCAAGGCTTGAACTTGCACTTTGTGCTATGTGTGCACTGCCAGGGCAACAGTTATACCCCCAAATGACTTGTAGTCATCAGAAACCGTGAGCGACTACTTATTTTTTTTCTCCTTCTTAGTCTTCTTGTCCTTGTCCTTGGCGTTCTTTTCCTTCTTGTCCTTAGCCTTAGGAGGCTTGGTCTGGGTGTCATCCGGGTCCGTTTCCTCGCCGCCACCCTTCTTGTCATAGTACTTCTTTGCATTCCTGCGGGATGGAGATGAAAGAGAGAGCAGTGGTATGATTTGCAGTTGGAAGGAGAAGGGCCATGACAAACCAATAGCATAATCCCCATATTGTCCTGATCTTGTTCTCCACGGCTACGGCTCTGGCACACCTACAGTATACATGTGAATCTCATCTTATATCAAGGGGTACAAATCTTGTTCAACAAATGGCAGTTTCATACGTATCAGGTCAAAATCTAGGATAGGGACGCAAACGTGGCATCCTTCATGCGTTTCTCGGCCGTGGTGTACCACCTAGGATCAAGCATACGTGATTGATACCACCAAGTACGATGTCACAAAAAAAACGAGTGAGAAATCCTGGTTTGGAAATAGTCGGACCACTTGAGTTCAGATTACTTCATTCAAGAAACTCTTCCCCTTGGAAGTCTTCCACTTCGCCCTTTGCCCAAGCTTCATTGCACAAGTCATATTGCGAATCAACGTTTTTGATCTGAAGCTCGAGGTTCTTCAAGCACCTGCAGCGTGATGACGTTCTTGTGTGGAGACTCGGAGCTAATCCAAAGACGGCGAAACCCGGGTGAACAACACTTTCAAAAACAAAAACATTGAATTAAGATGTCAATCATTCATATTTGTTTTGGGATCATTGTTTCGTAATTACCTATAAGGTGAAACGTTGCGACAAGAAGCTCAGCAGTCGCACTTTCAGCATAGTTTTTCTTGAGCTCTCGGGCGAGTGATCGAAGCTTTCCACTCTTACTGATCATGCTGCTGAGCACTCTCTTCAAGGCTTCTTTCGTCTAGCGTAGGCACAAGTGTGTTTTTTTTGTAATGGATATATATATTGCATATGAAAGTGTTCAAAAGGTATTATGATCTTCCGGCATTTGCATTAGATGTGTTGTGTAAACATGGCAACAGTCCACCGGTCCTGCATGTATTTGGTCATACCTGGCTGGTCAAAGTTGCCCTTGTCCTTGTCGGTCTGGCGCTTGGTTGCAGCGTCAAGTCCGGCAAAGTTGGTGCCAAGATCAGAAGTTGGATCTGAGTCGTCATCCACCTGAACGAAAGTACCAAACAATGGATACAGAGGGCCATGTAGTGAAGGAAGCACAATATATGGAACAGGATATATCTTCACTGGTTTATTTATGTTTATTTCAGCTTATACTGTATGATATTGTGTTCAATACATATAATATATATCATGTTTGTATGATGTTGATGCTCATGTAGGCCTTCTGTCTCTTGCTGCGTTGGTGCTCATACGATGACTCCTCAGTCCTCTTCCCAGTCTCCTTGACGACCACCCAAAAACTCAAGCTCACCATCATATGCGTTGCGCCTCTGGTGCAAGAGACACACATCCCTTTCTATAATTACAGTGACTTGACAGTGACAGGGACTTAAAACATGCAATTCCATCATCTACCCAGTAATGACGCCTGGTGTGCGAATCAGGCATTTTCAAGCAGACAGCTTTTGCTCCGTTGATCTTTTGCCTTAATTGCCGAAACAGTAAGCGCACATACCATGACTTTGAATACAACAGTGATAAACAGCTGTGAAGGCTATGGAATGCTATGGATATATTCTCACACTTCTTTTCTAGAGTTGAGTACCCATTACATGAAAGTGCAATTTGAAAGCACACAGTGGATTCTAAGATGATGGCATTGACCAACCCAATTCTTTCAGGTCCTCTTCTGAGTGCCAGCCCTCATCAACGGTCAACTGGAAGGATTTCTTCTTCTTGACGATGACAAGAAGCTCATTGAGGAACGCATCCTTCCGTATTCACATCATTTGAATTAAGAAACGGTTGGTTTCCCAATCCCTGGTGCATCATGTGTCTACTATATGCTAATGTTTCCACATATGTATTCTGAGCCTTATATTGTTATTTATATTGTATTGCAGTTCCACGGAGAAGAATCAGTATGTGTATCGTATCTTGTAAATTATTCACATAGCTCAGCTCCTTGTCCCAGTTGCACGTCCGAAGTAAGTCTGCAATTGCAGCCTTATCTCCGTTCTTCCACTCATCCTTCAGCCACTGGGGGGCTTCCAACTCACGCCTCTTCGACTTAGGTTGGACCATCCGATCCAGCCTTGCTTTTGCGGCTCGTCTCAGCTGAAACTGCAGGGGCAGGCAGGCTGACGACCCTGACTGACTGGAATGTATGATATCATGTTGGGGTACTTTCAAAGATTGAGAGATATTTAAAAGAAATATATATCATACCATAAGCAAACATGAGAAAACTGATTTTGGTTTATAACCACATGCCTGTCGGAGAGTCATACCTTTGGGGCGATAAGCAGCTGCTGCTTTGGTGGGAGCACTAGGAGTAGGTGTTGCTGCAACATCCGAGACTGGTGTAGTAGGTGCTGATGTGTCTGAGGGGCCATGAGCTCTGGGAGTGACCACCACCAAAGTGTCAGTAACTTCTGATTCTGGGGATTGCACATTATCAGATGCATCAGCTCGAACAGGTGTTGCGACAGGTCGCTGGTTCGGTGTCACCTTAGCGATTTGAAATCTGAACCATGGATGTAGCAATGTCATTCCTTTGAAGTTATTCTCATTCTTAGTTATGTAGCCCCAAACAATTTACTCAATTTGTTTGCACTACTCAGTACAAGTAGATGACACCAAATGGCCCTATATATTCACATACCATCTAGAGATCCAGTATCATATAGGTTGACACCAATTCAATACCCTTAGAAGCCTCTAATGAAAGGGGTTCACACTTCGTAATGCCCATGTGCATCCTGATGACATCTATGCTGGATTGCCCACTCGAAGACTTCAAGGATAGCGCTAGCTCTTCTGCTGATGCCTTATCCCAAGAGGGCCACTTGATAAAAAAAGCTTTCGCAGTAGTAATCTATTGACGTGCAAATGCCAAATCTCAGCTGAAGACCGGCAAGGTGTCCGCATTGCAGATATCCTGCTTCGGTGTGGTCTCCTGGTGGTTCAAATGGTGTTTGTGTTTCCAGCCAGCTGGGGACTGAACATGGGTAACAAGGTGTAAAAAATTGCAGTATATTGTTTATGAGCAGGATCTTACATACTACGAATAAAGTATTGGGGAATGCCATGTCAGCATATATATATAAGTTGATAGGTATGATCCAGATAATGCACCACAAATACACTAATTAAGACACTAATGCCTCATGTCCCTGTGCCTCATTGCCAATCGTTTGATCTCGGAAACCAAGCTCCTAGCGGTGACAACGAATGTGAAGCTTCCAAGTATGTATGAATATATTTAAAAGCTGTTTGAACAGGTTTTGACATCACAATGCAGTAAGGTGTTATGAACATGTTTTGATACTAAGATTCTGCCAAACAACAATACCATCAGAGAAGTATGTTGTCTCCTCCAACTGACGCACAAGTTCTGCCTCTTCAGCCTCTAGCTTCTGCATCTGAACCTGGTCGATGCCATCATCTAAGGTTGAGCAACTCCACCTTTTCGAAGAGCCAGGTACGCTGACCATGGGAGCGAAGGATCACAGGGTTCTCTCACTAAGATCCAGAAAAAACCTGTATATATGCAATGTGCACATGTGATGTTGAAGCAACTAACTATCCACGACACACTCTGACATCAATCATTGCCCAACTTCACAGTGTCATTCTTTGGTTTCAACATTATTTGGCAATGTTGTTTTCATCAGAGAATAGATATACCCGATCGTATGATATCACGACAAGGCCGTGAGGTCCAAACGAATTGGAGGCGTATTTTGCCTCGAAATTCTCGAATTAAATGGTTCGATAACCCGGTAGATTTTCTCAGTTGGATCCACTAAATTTCTCATTTTGGCTATTCAAATGTGAAGTTATCGGAGCCCAAAAAACCCGTGAAAAAAACATGGGTTGTCACGGGAGAATCATGGGTATGTCATGGGTTCGTCACGGGTTTGAAAAAACCAGGTTTTTTTTTGATACACGGGGTTTTGCTAGGATAATCATGGGTTGTCATGGTATAATCATGGGTATGTCATGGGTTCGTCATGGGTTCGTCACGGGTTATCGGACCTCCAAATCATCAACCCGACATTTTCGGAATCAATTATGTTAATTTTCTGTTTTTTGATATAACTTTCCAGAAATTATCCATATATTTTCGAGTTCAAGATCTGGAAAACTGTTGGAAAACCAACGGACCTTCGATAAGTTTCATCCGATCTTTCTCGGAATCACAGCTCGGTACTCAGGAGGAATCTCGAGTTTACGATTGCCTCTCAAGTAATCAAAGACTTCACCAAACCCTGCAAAACTCCACTCACAATCTGCCATTGGCCATGGTTCCCCCATGGTTGTCAAAGCTGGTGGCAGCTCCATGGGTAGCGCAGGTTGGCCCTTTGCCGTGGACTTCATAACATCCAGCATATCCACCAAGGTCCGTGCAAAGGGCATTGGATAGACCCTTGGTATGGCTGTGGTTGATGGGGTTTAAATATTTAACTGGTGATGCAATGCCATGATTGAATAGATATAAATTATATAAGTCACTTGCCCAAAAATGTTTTAAATAGCATTTGGTGGCCATTGATCATTTTAAGATAAATCAGGTGTGGACCAAAATGTATCAAACCAGTGATATAAGTCAGGGCTGTGGATCAACATAATCAATATCTTGATTATAGATTTCAAAAGATTTCACCATATGGTTTCTCGGTTATGGGTAGTTCCCCAAGAATGCTTTTACAGGCTGTAAGGTACAAATCAAAACATATACTTTGCAACAAATCAAATCTATTCAAGAGTCTCCGTTGAACGAAGATGCTTCGTACCTTTGTAGCACTTCTTACCTTGCTTGTTGAAATAGTGATCTGCTGTTTTGATACGATCCTTCTTAGCTTTACGATCAACTGCGCGAAGTGGACCTTTGTCTAACTGAAGGACTTTCTCAGAGTTGGCATACGCGTAGTGGCGTTTGGGGGTTGGAGATTTGTAGTGGGCCATCCACCAGGACACTCGAGATACCTCACTGGATTTGTGACACATGGTTTGATACAAAGATATATGCCACTTGAACAACCTTTTCAAACATTCTAATCAGATTTGATCAATATATTGTTTTATAATTTGTTTCTGGAAGTCATGCATATACGGTCGAATCTAATACATGTTAAATTGATGGTGGTTCGTACCAACTAATCAAAGCTACAGCTCTCGGTCCACCAAAGTCAAATACCTTTCGCATCATCAGTCTGAATGTAGGGTAGAACTCAGCTGCCGAGCCATCTGGTTGCTCCAGGCTCCAAACTCCGCCGAGCGCCGTGACCAAAAGGATCAATGCACAGGTCCTGCCATGAGGGAATGGTGCAGATGTTAGCTTTAGAGTTTCCCTCAGAATCCTGCATATATACCACGTCTACAGCTGGAAATCTATAATCATTCAAAATTATTTGTTAAACATATGTTGGCTTTAGACGATCCTCCTATATTGCATTCCCCTAAGTGCATTTCATGTTCAATAGATCTCAGAGTTTGCAAAGGAGAGATTGATGGGGCTTTGATTTACTGTCCTTTCCAACAGCTTGTTTGATGTGAAAACCGATGGATGACCATCAAACCCCAAGCTGCAACATGGCCCCCTCATAGATGTACCGACGTTCATTCGGCAAAACGAAGAGCATTTCAATGCAAAGTGGGCGGCAAAGTCGCTTGCTCGACAACGCAGTATCATCAAAACTGCCAACCTTAGATGGCATTATCATTGGTATTCTTCGCATCTTACAGTGCAAGGGTAATAAGCTCATATGTTGCACTATAGTTTATAACTATACCATTTATAGCCATATACCATTTTATAGCAGTACGGCATCCTTTGTGGTTGGTATGTTGCCCTATTATTTGGGACGAGAAACGCAAAGCCTGAAACACTGTTCAAATCCATGTAGTTAGACTTTCGAGATCCCAGATTCTGGTTATCCAAGATGTCGAAGCGAAGGGCATTGTACCCCGTTGCCAGAGCTTGCTTGGTAAGATTACCAACTCCAGCGAAGAACTCTAGGACCTCATACTCCTGGCTGGCTGTAACGATGGGTATATGGTGTATCTATCAAGGCTTGAAAAGGAACATCAGGTACTCATGCATCAGTTAAGAATGATGGAATATAGTTGTCCTAAGGTTTTGAATGTCCGCCAAGGTTTTCTCATATATAATCTTTCTAGATACCTTCGCGACTGTTTCTCCTCGTCAACGGAATAAGTCCAGCACAGCATCAGGACGATAAGCACGAACTCCTGCCATTGAGCAAGAGGCCGGGCAGTAAATGGTAGATGGAAGGATGGCACTTCACTGCATTGTCATTTCTTGGTATTTAAATTCATGACCTAAACCCAAAAAGCATAACCACCGAATTGAATGTAATATGTAGATACTGATGCATTTGGCATAATCTTAAAATAAACCAACTGGGATTGACTTTGGAATGCAAAAGACTTAGGGTTTCCAGAGGGTCCTGGGTTTATGGCATCTATAGACAATACTAACCTCCATCCCAGCGCAATAGCTCCTTCGGACAATTGAGAGCTTTGAGCCGCCATACAAGCTCATCAACATTCACCATGGCTTTGACAGGGATTGATGCAGGAGGTCACAGTTGACAAACCAGCTTTAAAAGGACCTTCCAAGTGTTCTCAAAATTTCTGGTCTTCTAGTCGTCACATGGTTTATGATGGATTCATGTATGTTTGTACACTCATGCCCACTTCGAAATGCAGCACAGGTCTGGACAGGTATGGACTGGATCCGAAACTGTTGGTCCCAGCACTAGTTCAAACTTTCACCAACAAATCACATATTCTTTTTCACAAAAAGAACGGCGTACAACAGTTAAATCATGCCAGCCTGGCATTTTTTTTCCCTGTCACACGTGCCTGCCACAGGTTTCGACTCCGTTTGGCCTTGGCTGGTGTGGCTTGTGTGGTCTGAGTGCTTCCAAAAATGGGGGGAAAATGTGGAGAAGATAGGTTAAACAACTCGCATCGTAGATTCTTTTGATTAATCGATATATATATATATATATAGTCAAAGTATCAAATATATCGAATTGGTGCACAAGACATGTTCACCAAACAGTGGGATAAGATCAACTATGTACAAAGCATCAATTCCTTACTTGATGATATCTGGTATGTTTGATATCCACAGCATCCATCAAACGACATTGAGTGACTTTGGTGGATAAGTCTGCGCATATGCACCACTGCATCCCCTTTTTTTTTGTGATCGCCCGCTGACATCCTCTTGGGTGGACAACGCCTGTTCTATCAGAACCAAGCCAACTGCCAGCCATTATTTTGTGGAGCCATTTAGATCTGAGGTGTGATGGCAAATAAGTGAGACAGGTTTTGTTGATTTCACACCATTCCATCATGCAGCCTTGTCCATATCCCAAGCAAATCTAAGTAAGCAGGATTCGCAGAACGCGTTCTAGGTTGCCACCACGCATATAGGCCTTGATCACCAAAAAACAAACATGATACACGTATATAACAAATTCACACACCATCAATGAGGAACATGTTCACATAAACAATGACATTTGCGCTTGATTTAATTACAAACATTTACCAAATCATTCTTGGGCCAAACGACGTGGTGAAACTGTAGTCCATCTATAGGTACCATAATTTGGTACTGACCCCCAAATACCAAAAGTAAGCATTGAACCATAGTAACAATGCTATCCCTTGCGCGCCACACGCTTTGCAGCCTTAAGGGCTGCAGACTTGAGAGACTCTTTGATCTCAACCGTCAGTGGGTCGTCTGCCAAAGATTCATGAGACTCACGAGGTTGGCTGGAAAGTTCGTCCAGGAAAGCTGCCTAAGTGTAGCAGGAGGATGTAGTATGACGCAGTAGGTCAAGGCATGATAGAAAAGGGTTATTCACCAAAATGGTTGCCAAACATTGCCAAAACTCATTGCCTTTTGCTACATTTATACTTGCCTATCATAGCACAAAGGTAATCCAAATTCACAGGTCTTCAGGACTAATGTCATTCAAGATGCTAGCATCGAAGCTGCTTTCAAGGTAGCCCCCAGGCACAGGTGATATGGTAGATCAGGGTCTTTAAGCGGGATGTTGCAGAACTCACGCTTCTCAGCTCTAAGAAAAACACCCGTGGATGGCATCTTCCAATAGACACTCAGTCTACCCTCCTCAGAATTTGGGGTATTCTCACGCAGCACCGTCTTGGAAGCTTCAGTCAAGTCCTTGGCCTTTCGAACTGTCTCCCCCAGGTAGTTGATGGACCTCAAGTATGCCGTAATCTGGGCAACCTGTTCTCTTTCCTGTTTGGGAACACGGCAGACCTTCACCACCTCATCATCCTCCTGTTCAACTTTGTTTGCTTTCTTGCTTTTTTTCGATGCCTTTTTTCGTGCAGCGGGTTCCTCCTCCTCGGCCTCAACCTTTTTTTTGCATGCCTTCTTCTCCTTTTTGGTTGGTTTGCCTTCATGGTTGTCATCATCCTTGCTTTTTCCTTTCTTCTCCGTTTTGCTAGGTTTGGGACCATCATCACCATCAGCATCCTTGAGCTTGTGCATTGAAGTTTTTCCATCAAGGTGGGCATAGCGATCAAATGCTTGGGGTGGCTTCGACCAATCATCTGTCCAATTGGAACCATCGTCACCCATTTCCTCATACCACATGTTGTAGTATTCCTCTACAGCCATTGCATCCCACTCCTCCTCTGTCAACTCCTTCTCCTTACCTGCATGTTTCCTTTTCTTTCTAGAAACCTGAACTTCTTCGGTATCGTCCTTGGCTCCTCTTCCTCTACCCCGACCTCGTCCACGGCCCCCAGGACCTCTTCCACGTCCCCCAGGACCTCTTCCACGTCCACGGGAAGTTGAGTCGATTTGGTCCTGTCGATGAACATGTTCCTTCGTCTCCTGCAATGCGAGTGTCGGAGATTGATCATGACACATCTAGGAAACGTCAACAGTTAATCAGAAAACAAGTCCGGAGTAATTAACCCACAAGTTCTCACAGGTAAGTTGGCCATCCAGTCAGTCCAGCCTCATCCTCAGACTCCGTGAACAACTCCGTCTTCTTTCCCTTGGGGTTTGACTTCATCCCTGGGCGTGGCTTGTCTGTCTTGTCTTTCTTTTCTCCATTCTCATCTCCATTCTCTTCTTGGTCTCCAGCATCAATTTTTTGATACTTGGTACGCCGTTCTTCTGTCGATAACTCAGGGGATACCACAGGTTCAGGCTCGGAAGGAACAGGTACTGAAGAAAGATCCTCAAGAGGTTGGGTCTCCACTTGGTCAGGAGGCAATGGCTTTTTTCCTGCCGAGTCATATCTTTGACACAAAGATGATGGGAACACTACGCAAAAATTGTACATTCGGATCACCATCATGATTATCATACCATATATTCATGTATCATCACATGGTATCACTTGGTGGCACTATCAGGTAAATGTCCTGCTGCTTTTTGAACTTGTTCTGCTTTCATCTTGCGAAGCCTGAGTCATGCAACAAGTTTGGAAGAATTTACCAACTACTTGTCTCAAACAAGGGTCCGGATAAATTTTAACAAAGTGATTATTCAAGATGATTCTTCAACTTATCAAATGACTGCACGCAAAAAAATATATAACTCTGTTGGGTTGGGCTTTACTTGTTTGATGATGTTTGATGCCTTTTTCGAAATATGTATGAAACTAGACTAGATAGCCTTTTGGTATTTCAATTTAATTACTGCAAGTGCATTCTGGTAGCTCCTCCAGCTTGGCCATAATGGCTGCTCTTTGCTTTGCCTTGTCATCCAAACAGGCATCCTCACCTTAAAAGCTGACAAAATCTGACAAAAGGACGGGGTACTGTATATATACGATATGTTGCAAGCTGTGTCTCTGGATGCAGCATGAATCTCTAGACTATAGATTCTCATTATTTTGGAACTTTCAATTGCATTTAAAAGACGAGCTCCGCAACTGGACATAAAGAAAATGCTAAGGATGAAACCTTTGGGGTTGGTTACGGGCTCACCCTTGGCCTCTGTAGCTCCAACAACATCACCTGAGGCTTCTGAGGCAGGTGCACTGGCGGTTGGGGTATTTGTCTCCTCAAGTTTATCTCTGCTTCCAGCAGGGGCTGAAACTCTAGCTTCCTGGGGATTGGGTTCAAGGGTCTTTTCCTTGTCCTTGTTTTCATCACCATTGCTCTTGACATCATGGTCCAAACGATCACCATCATTGTCATCGTCACTGCTCTGGTCCCCGTCCGATGATGAACTCTCATCCCAGGCATCTTCATCTTCAGCGACAGTTGCCTCATGATGAGGACAAAACATATATACTACAATGTGTTTATCTAAAGAGTCAAAGGCTGTCCATAAAATAGAAACGGCTGGGTGTGCAAAACAACAATCAAATTTTCCAGTCCTTCCGACCCTTCTTCTGAAGCCTTTGTTTGACCTTCGCATTGACCTTGTCCACCTCATCCTACAGCACAGGTTTGTACAAGGAGTGGGGCAGGTTGATCCCCAGGAGTGATGCACAAAACCATACACATAAAAACCAGAAGTAAAATAAGTAAAGACATGTGACACCTGAATGATCCTGTCATAAGCTCTCATGTCATATTATGTCATGTCTTGCCTGAAGCATCGGGTCCAAGATCGCGCACAAGTTCTGAAAGGCTTTCACCTTGGTTCACGTGCAGCCATGAAATATAATAGACGTGTCTCCCTTTTAAGCTGTTCCAAAAACAAAGTTCAAAACTCCAGCGATGCACATGAAAAACAAACAACGGAAGATGTGATATGAATCTTGAACTTGTTTCGACAGTTCTCTTTTTAATGTCAGTCTGGTTGCTGTTGACACTTCGTGTCGTCTGCACTTGGCTTTAACAAAGCCGCACAGCTTTCGTAGACACCACCCTGCTTTAGCCACATCATCCCAGTCGAAATCAGTACCCCTTTTGTTCATCTGTAGAAGTGATTGTATTTCATCCTTCAACTGATCTATGCCGGGCACAGGGCGTTTCGCAGTCAATGCCATTTTGCTAAGCAAAGGTTCGAGAAAGCTCTTCTGTTTCACACTGGTGCTGATGTCTTGACAGGCTGGGCCAGGAGCTAGGATGGTACTTTCTTTCTTTTCATCCTTTTCCTTTTCTTTACCCGGACCCCGAAGTCGTTCTCTAATATCCTCATAAGAGTCCCATTCCTTGGCTACCCCTGCTACGTCTGTAGCATCAGAAGCTTCAACTGCCATGGCGGCAACGCTGCTTGCCGCGCCAAAAAGCAAAAAGTGGCTGAGGGAAACAAACAACTAGCAGGCGAACAACTGAGCAAAGGTTATGACAGGTTTCTTGAACACGTCCAAAATATGTTATCACATCTATCCATCTCATCATCACCTCGCCTCTTATCATCTTAAATTCGTGGTCAACTCTGATCCTGTCATAGCTCCCTTTCCTGACCCAGATGGATCTTGGCACCAGACATCTCTCATCCTTTTGAAGCCACGCGCCCCATAGCGAGCACGCTGCAAATCATGGAGGTTTTGACTGTTATTTCATGGATGAGCAGCGCACTATTGGTGGCAACCTAGGCTATCAGTGTAATGTCTGCATATGCAGTTTACTCCTGCGGTGAACATACGTTGACCATGTTGAGATGCGGTTTGCTTTGAAAAGAAAAAGGCATTGATGGGGAAAGGTTGGCTATCATGCCTGCATGTGGGCCTTAACTGGTGGAACAAAAGAAGTATAGTAGAACATTTGAAAGAACATCCCGGTCAGGTATAATTGCTATGGGGCTAAGAGCGACCTGAAGAGATATAAAAAAGAACACCATGTATAAGTTGTTTCCTGTAAAATCCTGCTGAAACTATGCCAACATGACAATATATGACAATAACCACCACCAAATCCTACTACAAGCCAAGATCGCGATGCCCAAGTCGACCTGTGACGTGGCTATCGGAGGGTTTGGTAAAAAACACGAGGTTTTATATGAAAACCCTGGGTTTTTGTTCATGTCACGGGAAAACACGAGGTACAATTTCATACCCAACAAATTTGTAGGGTTCAGACGCTTAGGGTATATATATATATTGGACCACACAAAAATACACCCAGGGATTTGGGGTACTCTACTTTCAGTCAAACTCACATTAAAACCTTAGGCTTGGTTTAGTTTGTTGGAGTCCTGGAAGGTAAATATCATCGATAACATTAGTCTTGGCACGTCTCGACCACCTGCAATGGTTTGCCTCTAAGCCAGCATTGTTTCATATGTTTGATAGGTGTCGTTCTTCATTTCATATTTCATGTAGGTCGGAGCTTGGGCTAGCTACCATCATCGGTCTTCATCCTTCGTACAATTACATTCCTGTCATTACATCTCCATGTGCTCGTGCTTCTAGTATGTTTGCACAGTCATCTATCGAAATCATGTCCCTTGCCTTATACCCCATAGAAATCCTGGCTATGTCCTAAGCTGGAGGTGGTCAACAGCCACCGCAAAAAAAGAGTCGGTGCACTTGCTGGTTGGTGGTTGCGAAACCCATCCCAAAAGTATGCAAGTTTCATGGAAATCACCATCCAGCTTCGATCTTCATCTCCCTTTTGCGCATCACTTCTAGTTGAAGCTGCATCTCAGTTGGAAAGTGGCTACATGTGGCTACTAACTCACATATACGTCTATACATCACTGGGGTTCACCCCAGTCAATGAACTATTCATGGTTTTCAAACGCATATCGACTGGTATGTACATCCAAGCACTCATTATCATGTGTTAGATTTGTATAGATTTGTTTGGCTAGCTAACATGATAAATTCAGGCTGGGTTTATACAGCTTATACCATGTCACCCCTTGCAATGTTGTTCTCCAACAATAGACCATACCCTACTTACCCACTTTGACCATGTGGCGAATAGTCAAAACCATCCCGAAAAAAATGAAAATTTAATTATTCGGATGATGTTGTTCCTAAATTACGTCTTAATGATTAATATAACCCTAACATTAAAACCATGCCCAGAAATGTTGTTTAGGTCAAATCATACCCAAATCCTTTATATTGAATCATCTCCTCAACGATACGTATAACTTATAACTATAACCCAGAAAGAAGTTTACCAAGCAGGGGATGACGTTTTTTTCCAGCACATTCCGTCCTTCTCCGGTGAGACTCGTCGTGCCTGAAATGCAGGCAGCAAACTGGAGCCCCACGTCCAACAAACATCAGATAATCCGCAAACATGGAAATATAAGTCTATACATAATTAAAATGTATGTGTAGACATTATGACTATACACTTCAATTTATGGTTCTATAATTCTATATGTTATATTGGATTAATCCTATGCCTACGCCGATGCCGCCCTTAACCCATAGACTTCAAAATCAACAGATCCACGGCCATTTCGGAGTGTGTAAAGATTCCTTGGTGATTGGGGAAGGGATTGAACATGATTGAACCAACAGTCCCAATGCAAGTGCTGACCCTGAAAAAAAATATTGTTTCCCCAACTTCCCTTTGCTCGACTTCTGAACGCATCACAAATGGACAAATGAGGCCAGCCCCTATCCAGGGCAAGACCAGTGCCACACACTTCCAAGACAGCAAGAGTGCTAGATGCAGTTCAAATCATCCAAAACGGAGGTACTGTCACCACCAGCACGTGGATTGCCCCATGTCACGACATTTCCGTTTGCCAAGATCGCAGCAAAAGCACGCCCGCTGGCAGAAATGTGTCGAGCGTCTTTGAGCTGATTCTGGACTGCACTGCTGTCACCGCCATCAGCCGCTCTGCCCCAGGTCACAACAGAGCCATCTGCCAGAATCGCAGCAAAAGCATACTTTGTGGCATGAATGTCTTGAACATTCTTGAGCTGATCCTGGACTCTGGTGCTGTTACCACCATCATGTGCATTGCCCCACGTCACAACATTTCCATCTGACAAGATCGCAGAAAAGGCGGTATTTGTGGCACAAATGTGTTGAACTTCTCTGAGTTGATTCTGGACTGCGATGCTGTCACCACCACCATGTCGACTACCCCAAGTCACAACGGCGCCATCTGCCAAGATCGCTGCAAAAGCAGAGTTTGTTGCACGGATTTGCCGAACGTTTCGAAGCTGATTCTGGGCTCTGGTGCTGTCACCACCATCATGTGCACTGCCCCAGGTCACAACAGTACCATCTGCCAGGATTGCAGCAAAAGCAGCTTTTGTCGCGCAAATGTGTTGAACTTCCCTGAGTTGATTCTGGACTGCGATGCTGTCACCACCATCATGTCGACTACCCCAAGTCACAACGGCGCCATCTGCCAAGATCGCTGCAAAAGCAGAGTTTGTTGCACGAATTTGCTGAACCTTCCTGAGCTGATCATGGATCCTGGTGCTGTCACCACCATCTTGTGCATTGCCCCAGGTCACAACAGTACCATCTGCCAGGACTGCAGCAAAAGCAGCTCTTGTGGCGCAAATATGTTGAACTCCCCTAAGTTGCTTCCGAACCATGGCGCTGTCGCCACCATGAGCGGGGCAGCCCCACGTCACGACAGTGCCATCTGCCAAGATCGCTGCAAAAGGGGGCAAATATTGCAAAGGCAACAGGCCAAATATGCAGACCGGAGTCTGCACTAAGACGCTGCCACCAAAAATATTCTTAAGGCAGTAGCACAGGTGGCAGCACCGCAAATTCTTAGAAAATAACGCTGGTCAGAGCGAGAGAATTCGGTGACCAGGCCTCGCTTGAATATGGATCGACATGCAAAGCAGTCGTGTGCTCAAACTAATTGATGTGCTTTAAACTCATTACGCCCCGCGGGCAGAAGCCCTCAGAACGACTCGTCACCCACCGAGTGCTGTGCTCAAACCACCCGTCCAGCATGTCGCCGAGGTGGTGCGAAGTGCCACCGCCCCACTTCCACAGGCACTTCTCCCTCCATTATCGATCAGAGGTGGCACGGGCATGGCTTCAAAGAAGCCCGGCAGTACCCGAAGGCTGCCGTCGAGGTGCTGCCAAAGCCTCTCCCTAGTGCATCCAAAGAGGTGCCAAATCTCCATACAGGGTGCTAACGACATAGGTACTGCCGGATCCGCTAAACTTCGCCTCCCCTTCGCACGGAAGGGGGCCCGGGGGAACCACGAGGAGGTGGCGGATCGCTGCAAAAGCAAAGTGCGTCGCACAAATTTGCTGAACCTTCCTGAGCTGATCCTGGACTCTGGTGCTGTTACCACCATCATGTGCATTGCCCCATGTCACAATCCTGTCACCTCCGAAACACCAAAGAGCAAAGGCCGTTGATGTCGCCGCTATCCTTGGCTGCTGCACAACTGCCGCAATGGTGTCTCCGTCCTGCAGCCCTGTGCATTGAAGAGAGTCTTCAGGTTCCAACAAACACCCATTCGGTGCAGCAAGCTTCAAGAAACGTTGTCCCAACGAATGCTGTGCAGCCAGTTTCAAGTCACCAACGCTGCTACTCAGTGGAAGGTATACAGCTTCGCAGCGCCCACTAGGCAAAAACACGTGAAGCTCTAGGGTTTGGCTGGTCACTTTCTGATTGCACCACGCTAGCAGCTGCTTAGGCCCAACAGGCTCCACCCTGCGCCTTTTGCTCTCCATGGGGATATGAAGGTGCCGAGTGGATCGCTAGGTGTCACCGTCCAACTACAGTTGATATATCTTCAAGGCCACAACGACCTCATTTCAGATGTGGGAAATCTTCACTAAGACTAAAAGGGCTGAACAAAATGGTAAAACAACCATTCAATCCATTCCAAATTTCAAATTATGTTTTGATTTTTTGGAGGTCCAGGCACTGAAGTCAGGCAGCAAACTGCAGTAGACCAAAAAAAGACCATCTACCCTTGTGAGTAATTAGCAGGACATCCTCTTGAAATCTCTGGTTCCATACTCTGGTGTGTTGGCGTTTCCAAGGAACCTGCAAAGGGAGCCAGAGATGCACCAGGGAAACAGTGCTTTGGGTCCCCGCAACCTGAGGTGCCCACATGACATGCAAGAAATGGCTGTTGATGGTGAAATCTATTGAAATCTAATCAAAGTCCACTGGGAACACTCCATTTTCACAAAAAGTCTTAAAAAAATGACACCAACCTGTGGCACGGCTTTCCATCCAAAGCGCTTTTTTTAAGGAGTGCCCTCAGGTAGTCACAAGAAAACCATTCAGCCAGCTTTGGCCGACCATTCAGGGCCCATGTTGAAGTGCCAAAAAAAGTGAGACCCATAGAGCTGGGCCAAAAGAAGGTGTCACCGCTAGATATTCCCGACAGCAGTAATTTCTTGGTCTGGGACTGCCACTCAAAACAGGAACAGATTCCTGGAATTCTGAAACCCTGAAACCTGGAACCCTCACTTCTATGGGGTTGCCAGGGTGGGTGAATTTTCAGTTCAATGGGTTCAACCCATCCCAGTCTTTCAAAAAGGCCATGTCATAGCGACCATCTCCCAACCACTACGTCACTACGCAAGTAATCTCGGAAGTTGTAAGTACGGCTAGGGACCGACTTCTAACCCCCAGAAAACATCTAGAACCCCCTAAAAACTGGGATATATTGGGAGATGTTTTCGGTCTAGACCGTCAGTTGCATCACCCATTCCGTCGCCTCCAAATGTCTGGACCGACCCGAAGATCGTGGCAAGACAGCCTCAACTCCCGGAAAAAAAACATCTCCCATCGACCTGGTCAGCCCGGTGTCCCTGATTTTTTCAGTACTTAAAAAGTAGAAAACCCAAACCCGGGAATATCCGTACTAATACAAGTACCATACATCATACCATGAATTTGAGATGCATTTTTTCTGGTTTTCACCGGATGCCGGGATTTAGCCATACCGCAGATGGAAAATGATCCTGTAAATAGTGAATGGGGCCTATAATGTCCTACTGTACATTGGGTGATTGTTGATTAAATGTGGATATACGGCATATCACAATGAGTTATAATGTTAGGGGGCATTGACCAACAATACGGAAAAATAGTTAGGATACGATCAACGAAAAGTAAGAACTAAGAGTATGGAACAAAACCGGAACAGGTCGTCCCACTCAGAAAGTGAATTTAACACCTATGTCTATAACTCACTTGTACATGGGGGAACGCAACGCAAACTGGTGGACATGTTAATCTCTCCCAAGTATTTGGGCAAATCATAGAAAATCCTACAGAAATAAACCCATGATTGGATATGATTGGTTGGTTGCACTAAACCTCTAGGCTTCCCGTGCTGGACCCAGAGCGTCATCGCTTTGCACCTGGGTTTTTTTGCGGAGAATCACAACAAACAACCCCCAGGGAATATCCCGTAGATAAATGAAGACAAATAAGTTACCCTCGGGTAGACTCACATAGATGTTGAAAACCTACTATTAGTAGATGATTTTCCGAGGAAAAAAAATGGTTTTCCCACATCATACTTTACCCAGGGTATACCATTGATTATGAAGGCACAAACACGATTCCGATGCACGTTCAGTTGTGGGGAACCTATCATATTAACCTATGGGGATGTATGAAACCATGTTCACGACTGGGACGGAACGCAAACATTCTGTTTCACAGCTGTTATCATTGATACCCTCTGGTAAACTAACGTAGCTATAGAAAATCACCATTATTAATTGGTAAATCAACTATTTCTATGGCAATTTTCAATAGTTATGTTAGTTTACCAGAGGGTAATTACGATTTCAAAACCATCGGCACAGCAAAGCAAACACCCAGTGGCTTCTCTTTTCTTCCGGCCATTGGATCAAGCTTTGCGCTGAGCCCAGGTCACCAAGGTCCAAATGTCACGATCTGTTTGAATATGCAGGTCCAATATGGTCCAATAGTGATGCCTGAATGGATCTGAAACATTCTGAAAGCAATAAATGGTGGTTTCCTAAAATAGGGGTGCCCCTCAAATCATCCAACATTGGGCTGTTTTTTGGGTATTGAAACCTATGGTGACTCAGGGATCCCCCATTTTAGGAAACCCTCAACTATGAATATATAACTAAGTATCAAGTAAATCACTCAGGACCCTTGTCCAATGACCTCCAATGGAGCTTGGGAGTCCTTCGTGCACAATTCCGAAGTCGAGCATCGACAATTTCCAGATTCAACCATTTGGTGTTCCCCAATACCCGCAACGGAGTCCACAGAATTGCTTCTATTGCGTCGTCGGAAGTGCCTGTGTGCAACAAAGAGGATGAATTAAGAGCGAAATGATGAGTTACCCTGGCTTGATATAATATATCAAGCCGGGGTAACTAGTCATTAATATATGAATATATTATGAATATACATATGATGCTTGCAGAATAATACTATGTAATTAATATGTGAATGTACTTGTATGATGCTTATGACAATATATATATATATATGTGATTTATATGGGTAAATATCCAAAGACATTCCCCCATTTGTTAAGCCACCCATTTCGCGATCCCAACAACTCACCTGCGCTGGCAAGGACATGTAGGCGCGCTGCTCTGCATCCACAGGAGTCTTGGAGCAGATTTCGGGCTGTCTGGGTGGATTTCTGCAGGGTTTTCCCAGGCTCCAAGAGAGATTCAGCAGGATTGACTTTAATCTGGAGAGACTGAAAATAAACAATATTAATAAGCAATAATATAATATATATATATGAATATATGAGCAATTTTAGATATACCGATACATTGATACATGGGGATGTGCTGAAAGTTAAGAAGTCCACGGAATCGGAATGAATCGGATTTCACGTCCAAATCAAGCCATCTTCTCAAATGTTCGTCATTGTTGGTTGATCGTGCACTAGGTTTCAAACACCCATATCTTGGTTTCTCAAAAAACCGGACACCCCATTCCGAAAAATGGTCTGTGGCAGCGAAGCGAGGATTTTGTCTAAACAATTTGAGAAATCCCCAGCCAACTGATCTGAAAGCAGATGGAACTGATGACCACTGCACATTTGGGATCTCGAACAAAAGTGTGTACCTACCAAGGGCAAGTTTATCGAGAACATGGCAAGAAGCCCTCTCTATTTTGCCAACCAAAACACGGCATTGCTGGAAGGTTGTTCTGGAATGTGCCCGCCGGGGTCAGATTGCTTACATCGCTGGAGTCTTAAAGAAGTGACAGCATTCCTGGCATTCCTCAAGCTTTGAATGAGAACCAAAAAAAAACATAGAACTGTACTTTACCACTATTTTGGTAGGATTGTGATTTTCCTCTTTTTGGGGGGGGTCCTAGATTTATCAAGGATGGGTGCCAAATCAATTTTGACAAAAAGTGTTTCTTCCAGAGCTCGAAACTAATGAATGGGAACGGCTACGAGCCAAAATTGGGTACCACAAGAATCTCATCATACTAAAAAAGGGGTTTCAACACATGGAAAAACATCAATTGTGGTCTGTTCATGTCTGTTAGGTCTTCATTCTTGACGCATAGCTGAGCTACGCACCAAGGACATCGATGCATTTCTGACAGGACTCGCCTGGACAGCGACCAGGTCGCTGGACAGCTGATCATCCAAGGAAGAACTCATTTGATGATGCCCCGACCAGGTCGCATGTTCCGAATGGAAACCCATGGGGCGACTATATAATATCGACTAATAAATTCAACAAAACATGTTCAATATGCTCAAACCTGAAAAACTGAAGCCAGTTCAAAAAAAAAACAAATTTGATCTGTAGTACAATGCACTCTAGGATTGACTAGTCTGACTGGTATCTCTTCTAGGCTTGACTCTCCTGACTTGCCGTGCCGTGCCAAGTCAAGTCACATTGGGAGCTGCCAAGGGTTGATGCAAAAGAATCACTGTTTCGGAGACTCAACCATCCACTTGATGTTCATGTAATTGGGTGAGGGATGTAACCAACTATATACCAACTATATATAACTATATGAGCTATAGGTTTGTATGAAAATGGGATGGTGTCCCCAATGATTGCCTAGGGATTCGGACCTCATTTTCGCCAGTTTTTGGTAGACCCAATGCCATAAACCATCCCCAATTGTTTCATCACCATTTTGATAGGTGCTATGTTTTTACCATCCCCAAATGCTGGGCTTCTTGTTGAGGGTTTCCCAAATTATTCTCAAAAAAAAACACTGCAAAAATGATTGAAAATGGTAAAGATGGGTAATGTTTGCGGGTTTTACCATCCCCAAATGGTAGGAAAATGGTGATTGCTTAGAGTCTTGGAGTCTACACACAGCCAGCATCGCCTGTGGAGGCACTGTGACGAAGGCTCGGGCGTCCGGTTTTACAGGGCTGGCCTCAGTTGGGTAACGTTGACCCAGGATGAAGAAACAGAGGAATGTTACAATGTTTATCAATTTTAGAATTTAGTTGTTCGTGATTTATCACTAAGTCGGTGACCCACCTACTTACTGCCGGTGTGTTAATTCAATATTAATGCCAATGCGGGGTTGACGAGGACGTTTTTCCTTGGCAGAAATCCTAGGCACCTCTAAATCGCCCACAAGAAAAAAATGCGAAAAGAAAAAGTCGTGTCGCATCCATTTTGAAGTGGATGTCAAAATTCCCTCTTCTGTTGCCTCAAACAAAATTGGAAGGAAAGAGGCAAGCTGAGGCGGTGACCACTGCATGAGGAATCGACAAGGGTGACTCAGCGGTGATTGCGGCGCAAGTACTGATTGATCAAGTACCACCGACTTGGGGTTGTTTAATGGATGTTGATGTTTTTTGTAGAGTTTTTAGATGTCTTTAGGGAAGCTTGGATAGTCTTTCCAAATTCTTTTCATTCCCTAAGTATACATGCCACCCTCTTGATGGGGCCCACTCTGAACAGACCCCAACTCCCATGGATATCCCTTCGACACCTCCTGGCAGCATGGCTTGATATAGAACTCTTCAAACCAATTGAGCAGAATTGTGTCGACCCCAAGCCGCAACCCTCCTGTCCTAACCATAGAAGATACGCCCAAAACCATGTAGACATGTAGGACATTGTAGAAGCTGATATTTCTGGATGTTCATCCCAAAGGTTTTGATCCATCCTGGGTCCATCCCAACCTCCCACCACTTCAAGGTCCCCAAACTCCGGGCTGTGAGATCGTCGGCTGCGACCTCAAAGCCGCCCAAGCGCAAAAAAGCACAGGATTGGATGGCGAGATGGCCCCCAACTCAAAGCTGATGTTTCAACCCCTGGTTCTCTCGAAAGGGCTGGAAATGATTTCAACTAAATATCTCCTAAATATCCCCAAAATACCATTTGAGATTCGCACGACCCGGAAACACGATTGAAATAATAATATATGCCCGAAACAAAAGAATCAAAAATGGAAATTGGCATAAACATGCATAAACTTGGAAAATGGAACTGATTTCCAAAGATGGTGGAACAAGATGTCTATCTTTTCAAAGCTTCCGAAGCCATGGGAAACCACCCCAACTCGCTGCCCGTGGCCTGACTGAGATTCCGCCAGGATGTAGAGATGATACCATGCCAGCCATGCCTGAGAATCGCCGGCGGTTGATTGAACAATTCAATGGTGCTACTCCAAAAACATTGGATCTTAACCAAAACGCTCTGATTTTGGATGATTTGGGGTAGTAAGGTATAAGAGTAGCCCTATTTCAGGAATTCTTCATATCAAGGGTATAGTAAGGTACAGGATCCGTAGAGACCACTGGCCTGGCGCCACCGCTGGGTGCATGGGACCCAGGCCACCCAGGCCCAGGCCACCCAGGCTGCCTGGAGATGCAGCGCGGAGTCTGAAGAGCAGAGATTGAAAAAAAGTGGATCCATCTATCCATAAATCATGAAAAATCATGAAAAATCATGAAAAATCATGAAAATATGGAAAAATATGGATCCACTTTTATGGATAGATGGATCCAACATGGAAAAAGATGGGGATGGGTCATAAAACCCTGGTACCGTGCCGTGAACCCCAAGTCATAGCTGGGATTTATGGATGTGAATAACTGAATAACCCACTAAAAATGTATCTATAGGTATTGACCCATAGCCAGATGGAAAATATGGAAAAATCAAGGCAAAACGCAATGACATGCAATTAGATCCATCAATTATCGGATCCATAAATATCGATAAATCAAGGCAAAAGCGAAGCATGGCAATCAAAAGAACTTTTGGTTGTGAGCCATAAAATGTCAGGCCAGGGCACCCAACGGTACCCACAGGTCTCAAAGGGTTTGAGTTGCTGATCCAATCAATTTCTGGGTTACCAAGTTCGGCCCATATCCCCCAGGAGCTAGAGGTTGATAGATTAAGTATTCTCATTATGAGTGCCTTAGAATCATGAGCCTATGTTATCTATGTTTTATAGCCATGTATAACCAGTATACCCCTGAAAAACTACTGGAAACCCATCAACCAAACAGAGTTTTGGGGCCAGCCTCCATGCTTTCAATGTTGCGTATCTGACCGAGGGCCGGGCCATCCAGCGACTGCGTCTTTAAGCTACTTCCTGGCTCGAAATCGGTCACAGTCGGATCAAGATTTGGGTTTGTCCAGGATAGCTCTGGAAAGCTCCACTGGAGAAGGGTGTTTCAACTTGAAACAACTGGGGATGGGTCAAAACCCTGGTACCTAGTGAACCCCAAAATAGCTGGTAAATGGATGTTCATCCCACTAAAAATGGTATTAATAGGTATTGATCCATACCCAACTGATCAACCAATCCTCAGACATCTGAATGGGTTGGGGAAACGACCACGGCTCTGGAAGCCCCATAAAGCCCCCAGGCAATGTGCCACCAGTTCCGCTGGGTCTCCCCAACGGCTCGAGATGGGAAGCAACAAGGGCGCGCCACCCTGCACCTCAACCATGGGTCCAGCCACAGATTCTTACCCTTTTTTGGGATTTTGGTAGGTCACCATTTTGAAATGGCAAGGGCGGTATCAACTCTGCGGTGACCCCAAAGAACTGTCATGAGATGTCATGAGCGTGCTGCTTTGGATGGACCCTTCCACATGCCATTTTATATCATTTTATGCCGATCGTCGGTGTGTATAGCACTAGAGACATTTAGAGACTCGTGCCAAGCAAAATGGTTGGCCTCAGTCTTTTGACATCTTTTGACTCAGGCAGTTGTAGTGCCCGGCAGCCCAGACCGGGCTTCCAGACCCAGACCGGGCTTCCAGACCGAGACCGGTGGGACCGTAGCGATGTTGGAAGGAAGCTGGCGACTCATCGGCCTGAGTTTGGGACAAAAGTTGAGCCTGGAAACCACAGATTTCATACCAAACAAGGCGTGAGGGTAACCCCAATAACTACCCCAATAACTATTGTAGGACTGTTTAAGTCCCAGTTCTTGGGGATTACATGGGATTACCATTACGGGGGTAGCCTTAAACTCTTAAACCTCCACGAAGATTGGCTATCCCTCGTCATCATCCCAAGTCTGTTGGGAGACGACCCTCGTCATTTAAGTAGAAACCACCACCACGAATGTGCTGGACATGTGCCACATGTGCCACAAAATGGCACCTTAAAAACATCAGGGTCATCCAACCTCTATGGCACTATGCTAGGGATTGCTCATCTTGGGCATATGAAATATATGAACAATATTGAACAATAATAGTGCTTGACAATCCCCGTCGATCATCTAAACCCTACGAGTTTTTTTTTTGCCCACGACTTGGGGATAAAAAAAAACTCATAAAGTCGTGGGCGATCCAATGCCTGCCAAGCAGCGACATGTCTCTTGACTTGCTCTTCATAATTGCCTTGGCTCTCTGACAGCTGTGGATGGTCTGCCAAAAAGATGGAAAAAGACTGAACTCCAGGAAAAAAATATGATGATTATGCTTTATCTCAAAAACGGGAATACCAAATTTATATCAAAATTCCATAGTTTATCATGGTTGATCCATGATGTTCCCTTATAAACTAACCTTTTTCATCCTTTTTCTGTGTATATCTTCCCCCTTGGTCAAAGCCGAGTGGAAAAAAATGGCCGTGATCCCAGTTTTGCAACGAGTCGCCGCTTGCAGCTCTTCTTTGGATAGAACTCCATCGCCATCCTCGGGTCAAGTCACCGAAAAGTACCCCTGTAGTTCACATCGAAATAGCTGGGATGTATGAATGTTCATCCCCCTCAAAATGGTATTTACAGGTATTGATCCATGGCCATATGATGCCGTATGTCTGTTTGGTTTCTGGTAACCACTTCGCCAACATCTATAAGTATTGATCTGTGCACTGAGAGAACAGTCCCTTGATGGCAAATTATGTTTCTACGAAAGGACATGATTCCCCTAAACACAACTTGGCCAGCTAGCTTCTTGCGGCTTAGAAGGAAGAAGTAACAAACTGGAAGTATGATCCACTCAAACTGGCGAAGACTTATATTAAATTGTCCAATCTGATTGGTGATTTGAAGAAAACATTATTCCTTGCTGCCTAGTGTGTATGTGGGTATGGGCCTGGGTCAAACTCTGCACTGCTGGTGGACATCAAAATAGCTGATAAATGGATGAACTGGATGTTCATCCATGTTACCCTCTGGTAAACTAACATAGCTATTGAAAATGGCCCATTTCTAGTTGATTTACCCATTATAAATGGTGATTTTCCATAGCTATGTTAGTTTACCAGAGGGTAAATGGTCTTCAAAGCGATTGATCCATGCCCATATCATATGACCTTCTCAGACTCTGAAGACCCCAATCATCATGGCCCACCTTGTCCAGCATATCAAAGAGATCTGGTTCGGCCTTGAGAGCATCATCTCCTGCGAGATGAGCTGCGTAGAAACGCAGAAGGTGCAGATCTGATCTTATCTGTACATTCTGTACCCAGATGCTCCATGTATGGTATATTTACCTACATTTGGGTGATTTTTAGGGCAAATGTTGGTAAATATTCCATACATGGAGCATCTGGGGTACAATTTAAAAGCGTTCGCAGGTCGTCGCTTATTTCAAATATGTTCAAATAATCTTACAAATCTTACAGCTGAAATAGTGACGTCGTCTGAAATAAAAACAGGACCTGCTTATCGTCGGCCTGATGCGACAACAGGACCTGCTTATCGTCCAGGCTTATGGAGATGAAAAACCGGACCCCAACTTGGATTTGCTGCAAGGGGACCTTGGAAATTTATGGAAATTTCGAATCTTCCGGAGAGTTTCAAGATGTTTCAAGAGATGATAGATTTCAGATTCGGAAAATTCCAGAACATCACCTTCAGCAAGGCCGACACCAATTCTGGCCATATCCCTCAACAAAATGGCTGGACATGGCGGGACAATGTCAACCAATGTTCAATAGATCAAGATAATGTTTCTGCACTTTCTGGATGACCTAAACAACACCAGGAAGCGTCTCAAGAGACCTCTCCCCAAAGATATCAAAATATCTCAAAATGATTTGTACCCGCTAAGCCGACTCGGTCTTGTCAGAGAGACATGGTGAGTTCGCAAGTGTCTTACCGTCTTCGGTCAAATCTCTAAGACATCGCCGTGGAATTGCTGAGGCAATAAAAAGATTCCTACAATGTGGGGTTTATAAACCCCCAGTGATGTTAGTTGGTTTATAAACCCCATGAATACTATAGTTATTTGCGTATTATAAATCATAGTTATATTCCTATGATCCAGGATACATCAGGGATGGTTTCTACCCGCTGATCCCAGGGTCTGCTTATTGCCATGGTCAAGTCTCATGGGATTTTCATGGATTCTGGTCATATCACCATCCGTAAAATGGATTTCTCCTTGCAATGGGTATACGACCCTCTTGTAAACCTACTAACATAGCTATTGAAAATGGCCATAGAAATAGTGGATTTACCCGATTTACCCATTAAAAATGGTGATTTTCCATATCTATGTTAGTTTACCAGAGGGTAACCTTTTTAATGGGTGGATAACCCTCCTCCAATATGGCTAGACAATCCAACTGTGGCACCCTAAACCCAATCTTCCCAGCTTGGCGGATGCCTGCAGGTTGCCACCAGGGCCTGCCACAGCAGATCCATCTTTCTTAAATCGAATCTCGATCCTCATGATTCATGATCCTCATCATCATCGCATTTCCCATCTTCATCAACTCATAAAGTTTAATACAAAAGTGCTCTAAAAGTGCTCTAAAATCTCAATCTCTTGGGCTTTTTCCAACTAACATTCCCCCAACCATCCACCCCCTGTGGAAACGTCCTCGGGGCCGGATCTGTCCCGCCTCTCAGGGGGCAGTCCATCCCATGGCCGACAGTGGACTGTCAGCTGCCCACAGATCTGGTCGCGCGCCAGGGTCAGCTGAGGCCTAGGGAAACATCCGGGAGTGGGAGGGGCTCACCTTTCCAGGGGCTGATCCTAGCTTTTTGAGATGTGATTATAGCATAGATTATATGTATTATACTTTATAACTTATACTGATATACTGATATAATATTGCAATATTAAAAATATAATACTATAAGAATCTATAAGACTATAAGATACTAAGAGGGGATGTCCCGTCAATTTGTACCAAGGCCGGAGCCAACACTACCTACAGAAGATCTGCTCTTAGCATAATTTTTTTGAGGGGAGTGTCAGTGGATTTTCCCAAATGAATCATTCCCAAAGACCAAACTGAAGCATCTCGGCCACACACCAATTGCTCATGTGCACACGATCTTCTAACCATTCCGAGATCGAGCCAAGGAACTTGATGGAAAGGCCACCAGTTCTGCCAGCGGCACCTTGCTTGGAGGACACCAGCGGGTGCAGGAATTACAATCGTTTCACCATGTTTCACCTTTCCAAGAGGGGTTCACCAATCATGTGAGACCTTGCAATCATGTCAGATGCTTCTGAAATGAATCAACTTCAATCCCTCCAAAAAGGGGTAGTAACATGTAGTAACCAGCTGTTTCCATGGCCATTTTTTTGTCCAGGGCACCCCAAAGGCTTTGCGTGCCAATGGTGCATTGGCCACGTAGGTGCTCGCGGTGGTCGATGACCTGCAGGATCACAGTGAAGGTCCAATAGTTGCTTTACAGAAAGAAGTGGAATTTACCCTCTGGTTATGTCAAAATAGCTATTGAAAATGGGCATAGAAATAGTGGATTATCCCATTGAAAATGGTGATTTTCCATAGCTATGTAAACGTTTACCAGAGGGTAGCAATTCACTACCTAAGGTTTTTTTTAACTCGCAGTGCGTGAACTTTGTGTGCTTCGTGTGGGAAATAAATATCAAGTTCAGTGCTTCCCTCCACAATCAATCACCTGGTTGAGAACCATGGTCCAATGGTAGGGCTGAACAGGGAGGAAATCAACATCGCAGCATATGTGGCAGCCACCAGAGATCTCGAGGTGCCTCAAATCTCATGCTGAAGGAACCTCTGGGATGCAGCAAGAAGCGCTCATTCCTCACACTGGTGGAGTGGATCAGGGGCTTGACTGTGAGTTGCCAGTATTTTGTTGGGAGTTTGTTCCGCATGATGCCTTGCCTAGAAACGGTCTTCTTACTTTCTTCTTAGATCTTCCTAGTATCAAAATGTTCGCAATTTGTGAATGTGTATGCCTTACTTAATTAGCCTTACAATTAGTCTTACAATCTTTAAAGTCCGCGACAAACATCCACTTAAGACATGACAACATCGATGGGAGGAAGCAATGAACCCACCCTGTCCCAGATGTCCCAGATGTCCGAGGCCGCAGGTGCTGCCAAGCAACCACACAGGCTTCGTATATGGTCCGTGTTTGAACAACGAAGTCTCCTGAGAACAACGACCCTCTTTGCGAACAATTTTGTGGCAGGAAAGTCCCCGAACAGTCCATGGAGGTTTGGCTGGATTTTCCGGCCATCTTTGAGCAAACCGGAGGGTAATGCAACTGAAAGATCACAGGTCACAATGAAGTGCTGCAAAAAGAATGTGCTGCTTTCCAGAATTCTCACTGAAAGTGGCATCGTTTTTGCGAAGGTTTCCAAAGTGTAGAGGACCCCAAAATCCAGAAACGGCTGAAATGTTCATTTTGAGTCGCAATACAGTTCGTTCAGTTCAGGTTCCTCCAAAATTGGCAGACATATGCAAACATTTTTTCAATTGATACCCAGTGAAACTGTTTTCTTTCAAGGTCTCAAGCATCATCCCTATCTTCAACAGCCTCACAATGCCATCCGAGAATCTCCAACATTCTCCCCATCCATAGACACCCTCAGCGCAGTGAAAAACAACGAAATCAGCAAGCCGCATCGATAAAAAGTGCCCACTTCTGGACACACTTCAAGAAAAATAAGTGATATCTAGTATGTTAGAATGTAATATGATGTAGTATAGACAATATGTATAAATATAGATTAGGAACATAAATCAATAAAATTGGCAATGCCTGGGCTATCACCGGATGGTTGCGTGCTTGGAGGACCCCATTTATCGCCTCAAGCTACCAAGTATCAACGTCTTCCAAGTCATGTTGGAGCGACACAGGGTTGCTCCCAACACCCGTAGGTCCCCCATCGATGTGAGGCATCAGCCATGGCCCAGCCTAGCCCAGGCCCAGCCTCACAAAGGTCGGGGTGACAAAGTCGTTCGTCTCCTGGGAAGTGATGTTTCTCTGGTGATGTTTCAGTGGGGTTAGTTCAGCACAGTTATGGCATAGTTCAGCCATTTGTAGATGGTATTAGATGGTATAACCCACAAATAAATGGGTACTATAACCATCTACAACCCACTTAATACCCACTATACCATCTACAAATAGCTATACGGCTATACCATCAAATGGCTGGTATCAGATGATAAATTAGTATAACCATGTATAACCCACTTTTTTACCCACTGAATGGGGACATTCCCCAGGGATATTCACCACTTAGTCCTGGGATGATCGGATGATCGTGCACCTAAAACCCTCAGACCCGCTTCAGTGAAGACGAAATCTGGGGCAGTGGAGTGAAACCACAGGAAACAACGCGTTGAACAATCGCCCGTTGTTTTTGACATATTTATGTTGCTTGTGGAAAATCAAGCAAATGTGATGTTGAAACCACCAACCGATGATCATCCGATGATCACCAGCACCCAACAAAGAGATGTTCACAGAACCAGTGCCTGGATGGTGGCATCGCCAATGACGACCTGCTGAGACCGCAGCCCACAGCTTGCCGAAGCTCAGAAAAAATGACGCCTATGCCATTAGGCCTCCAAAAGCCCCTCAAGAATCATCGATGATATCCTGTGACCTGATCTGAACACTGAAAAAATGGGATCTACATCTGGAAGGTCCAAGGAAGTAGATGCTACGAGAGATCAAGCTCATGGCTTCATGTTACATTTTTGGATATCACCTCCTCATCTTCGTGCTACATGAATCTCCAAATAGAAAGCCATGGCAGCTCAACAAAAACCCTGAGAAATCTTGCTGGATACTTCCGCCCTCAACGTCGGAGCTGACCCTTGCGGCTGTCCATCGCTGTCCCCACCTCAATCACGGGTTCATATGGGTCCACATCATCCGCTCGGTAGTTCGGGTCCTCCAAGAGCCCGCAAGGCACCAACGAATACTACCTTCATGACTTCAACGTCTTTAATGAAATGGATAACTGAAAGAAGCGCCCACTGCAGTCACCCTTTTTCGAAACCTACTTCTGTTGCTTTCGAAGTGAACCGAAGCAGTTGATAAGTGTTTTTCCTCCTTTGGCTTGGCCTGCCTTGTGCTGAATACGAAGTTCGGGGTGCTCCAAAGCCACTTTGAAGATTTTTTAAGTACCGTGGTCATTCCAAAACCCTCATTCAAGAACCCCCAAGACCACGCAATGTTTCTTGCATCAAATTGGAGGGTAAAAATATCCTGTGTTTCAGTGTTTAACCATGTTTAACATCCATGTGTGTGTGTGTGTGTTTAACCCAGCACCCGGCATTTCGTTGTTGGCAACTCCCCACCTGGACCAGCTCCCGGATGGCTCGAAAGTTGGAGCTGTACCAGCTCTTCGTCGCCAAATCTCCTGCCGCGTTGATGGGCGTCAGCAGAATGTCCTGGCGATGGCTGGACAGGCACCAAAAATGTCGAGAACTGGGGAAATGTGGCCAGGAATAAAGTGAATGGTGAAGGTGAAGTGGGTGGTTTTCAATCCCAGGACAATTGATCAAAGATGGCGATAAGATGGCGATTACTTCTGTGGTTTCCCAGAAACTGCCAGTTTTCAGGTTGACGTCTACCCTTCAAATATCTTTATATATTCAAATATCTTTAAAACTCGAACTCAACAGTTGCTGCCGAGGTTCCCGAATCAACAAATCCATGGCTCAGTCAAGGGAAACCTGCATGCGAACTTCAAGGTGATGAAACTGAGAAAATGAAGAGAAAACGGCACCTGTCCTTACTCATACGGATTCCCAAGAAGAAAACATGACCATGAACAGGTATTCCATAGTCCCTGGGTCAAGGTGAAAAAGATAGCCAGAGGGGAGATTCTGAAGATTTCGAAAAGTGATCAATGCATTCACTTTGGACAATTTTATGATGCAACAACGCCGTGACTCGCTCTCACCCAGCCCATGGTTTTGAAGAATCATAAAGAATCCACAAGCCACAACTGAAGACCTGAGTGCTTTGCCTGTTCTCACTGTTGCGTACATCTCAACAGTACCGTGGAACAACTAGTACCTCACCCTGTCAACAACACCAAGAGCTTACTTCCCTCCCAACTTTCTTGGAAGCAGAGCCCTGCCTCCATTACGTGAAGAACACGGGTTGGACGCGTTCAAAAGGCTTGAGACGTAAGCTGCATTGCACAGTTTCCACTGGGTCTCCATATGCCCTTGCCGAGATTCCGTGTCAAAATATGCAAAGGCTTCCGGCCTGGCTTTGTTCTAGTACAGCACTTGAAAAACATTATCTTTGGACTGGCTCTTAGATCCATGCAAGACCTCGCTGTGTAGAATTGAAATCGAATTACGTAATGACAAAGCCTCAATAATAATAACAATAATAATGAAAGTATTAATATGTAATTATTAATAATACGAAGAAAAATATCAATAATAAAAATCACCCCACCCATGGCTGATCGGCGTTGACCACCTGAGCTCACAATCTGCACCCCAGAAACCCCAGAAATGCTGCCTCCTCTAGCAATGAAGACGCTTGCCATGCGTGCATCCTGTCCCGGGGCAGTTTTTCCCTTTGCAAAGCTGGCACCCATGGGTTTTCCAGTGAAAGCGACCCCTGCCGCTTATAAGGTAATTCCAAAGCCATTCTTGTTCCTCGTATCAATAGATCATTGTATATATGTCCTACATGTTTGCAGCTTGATCCCTGCATGTTTGATTCCTTCTTTCTTAGGTTGATCCCCAGATTTCTCACAGATGATTTACCCCCAAGTCAGTCAACAGTGTGTCTCTGGCATTCTCAAAATGAGCCCATGATACCCTATATGTATCCTATTCCTCCTACATTTTGGTAGCTTTTCTCTCAGGTTTCCACCCGAAGCCCACCTTCTCCACCAAAGTTTCCAGCACTGTACAGCTGGTCCAGAGCCTTGGTAAACCATGGTGATGATCCAGGCGATGACTTCTGGGTTTCCCCCCAGGCCCTGGGTAAAACGCCCATTTTTTACCATTCAAATTCCACCATAGGTGGGATTTCAACCATTCCCAAATGGGTGGTTGTTATTATTGTTTTACCCACATTAGTGGAAATTGATATGGAAATCATAGCAATCCATCACCTATAGTTTCATGAGGAGTTTTTCTGGAATATCAGAATTCACCAACCGACAAGTTCGGCCACTTGGGGATGATTCCCCCAATCCGAATCATCATTCCAGTCAGGTCGCGACGTGAGGTCGTGGTTTTGTTTTTTCTGTCAGAATGATAATGTTGGATTCTTTTGGAGGAAATGGGGATGGGGAGTGAACCATCAACAATAAACATTGAAGAATCATGGATTTGGGTTTGTCTGAAAATAGGGTATATTCCCAATTATAGCCATTTAATAGGGATAATGATCAGCAAAACCATTGGGTAAAAAGGGGTACAACATTTTCAGACACACCCATTTGGAGTTAACATGATTTAACCAACAAAGTCTTGTGGCTATGGAACCCACCTTTTGTCATAGGATGATGCTTCGGCACCTGGTGGGATATACGGTGAACAATGTGAAATGGTTCTGTTGATGGGTGCTATTGATGTTACCCTTAAAACAACAATGTTGACAAGGGAAAATGATGGTGGAGGATTGATTTTAGGGGCATTCCATATCCTCTAACAACGCCATACCACGAGATATAAAGCATGGTTGTATCAGCAAATATCATCATGATGAGGTATGATATATAATGAAATGGGATGTGTGTAAAGGTTGCTTTGTGTGGAAACTATATAGACAGATACTAAACGGCTAGATGACTCAAGAAGTGCTTTGACACCAAATCACGGAATTGTGGTGCGTTTGCTACCTGATACACTTGTGGCTCCTTAATCGGGACCCCAATTCTCCAGGGCAGCATTAGTGGGGCACTCTAAAGGAAATGAACCATGCAGGTCTCTTGATCGTTCAATACTTTCTGCAATCTCAAGCCAATTAACAAGACTAAACGACAAGTCCCGGTCCCCCATTCCCAAAATGTAGATCGTTTGTCTGGTCGGTGGTTTGCACCAATAACTTGGAATAAATCGGATCAATTCGCCCCGTATGTGATGTCTGAAAATAAGATATCTGCAGCTCAGTATCCCCAAACTTTAATGATTTATGATGATTTCTGCTGATTTATGACAGTTTCACCATCCAAATGGCTGAGAAAATACCCCGATTTTCAGACCCCCAGGTGGCCCACCGAAAAGGCCGCACCCCCGAGGTCCCAGCGCATCTTCGGGTAAGCGACCGATGTGCAAGGCCTGGAGCGGCGATTTTATCGCCCAGACATTTGCAGTATTTTGGCCTGGACAAATATGTACATATATATATATATATACTGTAAGTAGTACTGTGCTTGTGATTATTGATATATATATATACACGTATATATATCTATAATATGATATCTTTGATATTATGAATTATGAATCATTATTGTGTTGATGAGTATTGTTTCTTGATTCAGGAATTGATCCTCACATCCAATACGCCGGAAGTGGCCTCGGACATCAGGGGAGAAAGAGCAAAGGTAGTACGTACAGGTTCTACAGATGTAGACTGGTTGGTGGTTTCAATCCCTCTGAAAAATATGAAAGTCAGTTGGGATGATTATTCCCCATTATGAAGCCTGGATAAGGCACCATTGTCGGGTTCTGGGCCACTTCTCAACTCAGCCAGCAACGCCAGCTATACTGTTCATGTGCGACTTAAAGCGTCTTCTATCAATGAAAAATTACATACCCAAAGAATTAAACGATGCTGTAGAAAAAAAGGTTGGGAACCTCCATTCGTGGGTCCTCGGCTCCCCATGCAGAGAATATGATGGAATAGGGATAGCCGCGCTGCTACCGTAACACTCCCTAACCAGCGGATAGAAAATCATACCAAAAGAGGTTTTCCAAGGGTTTCACCACTAGCCTTTGGATATCTTTGGATAGCCTTTGGATATGTGGAGGTTTCCTAAATATCCTAAATTTCCTAAGTCTTAGGGGGGTACCCATCATAAATCATCATGAATCCTCCATATTTCAATAGGATTTTCCATGAAACCATCCAGCGTCTTAGGGGGGCAACCCCTTTTTTTCTTCACCCCGTTGGCCATGCCTCGGTAATGAGGAGCACCACACTCTCCGGCTGGACGGTCTGGGAATCACCAGGAGATCCCAGCTGGGCTTTTTAGCAATGTTTGAAAGCCAACAATAAGATCTGTCGAAACGACCAAGATCTACCAAGTAAAGTTCAGACATGATGACACACACACACACATATATATATATATATATATGTAATACATATATATATATATTATAACTATATATATATATATGTGTGTGTGTATGTATGATACTGTATATGTATCATCATAGTCATAGATCTTCATAGATTTTTTTGTGTCAGATGATTCATATACAAAAACACCCCTCAGAGTATTGGACTTGTTCGGCAAACCAGTGACTCAAATCGCACCTCCAAGGTTTGACAGGCGGCTGTCTGGAGAGTGCCGTGTCGACGCGGTTTCACCTAATAACCGTACGGGTTGAAAAATTGGGGATGCCCGGGTTTGGTGATGTATCCATCAACAATAGACATTTAATGGGATATCAATGGGGGGAAATGTCATGGGATGTATATTTACATCTATTAACCAACAAGTATCAGCCTGGTGATTTCGTAAGGCTTTGGCCAGCTCAAAGTCCTTATATTCAGGTGTGGAAGCCAAGACCTTGTAATCCCATGTTTCTGGATGTTTCTTCATTCCCAGTTCTGTTTCTGGTATCTTGATGTATCTTGATGTATCTTGTAACACCACTTCAAATCCATGGCTGCAGTGGCCAATCCCACAACCGGAGGATCCTTCCACGGATCGTAATCCACGGACCGTTAGTAATTAACCACTTATTCCACGGATCGTATCTGCTGAACTAAACACATCATGAGTCCGCTGACTCAGTAGGTTCTCCCATTTCTGGTTACAAACTCTGGTAAACATACAAAAAACTGATGGGAAAATCACCATGCTATGTCAGAACGGTAAACCATCTATATCATCTATAAATCTATGGGCCATGGCTTCCAGTTCGCAAACTGTTAGTCATTACCAGATCCAGAGGGTAACTCTGGTAAACTAACATAGCTATTGAAAATTGCCATAGAAATAGTGAGTTTTCCCATAGAAAATGGTGATTTTCCATAGCTACGTTAAATTACCAGAGGGTAACTCTGGTGATTCACGGATCCCTGGGATAATCCCCTGGGCCCAAAGCCAGCTGGTACAGCGCCCCGCAGATGGCGCCCCTCAGGGCCAGGTCGCTGGGTGTATCCCCACGACACCTGCCAAGAAATGCCGGTTGAACGTTGCCATGGAATAGGCGTTATGTGGTAAACCTATGGTAAAACCCATGCAAAACCCATGCAAAGCCTATTAAAACCAATGCAAGACCCATGCAAAACCTATTAAAACCCATGTAGACCCAATGCCAATATGCTCATATATGCTCATATATGCTCCATGTATGGCCATGTATGATTTTGTTTAACCTACATTTAGGACATGTTGAGGATGCTGGTAAATATTCCATGGAGCAAAGGGGGAATGCCATAAACGGGACGTATAAACCCAAAGGGCAGGTGTGCGTTTTGGCTTTACCACATTATTGAATTTGTCCAACATAATATTACCGATAACATGGCAGTTTTTCAAATATGGAAAATAAGTAAGTAATGAACAATGGGGATGGAATGGCGTACCCTACTTTGAAAAAAACACACATGGATTTTTCTCTGGCTATACCCTCTGGTAATATTTAACATAGCTATTGAAAATGGCCATTTATAGTGAGTTTTCCCATTAAAAATGGTGATTTTCCATAGTTATGTTATGTTAGTTTACCAGAGGCTATACCCTATGGGGAAAATGACAAAAACCCCTACGACAGATCCGCTGGGTGCCCAGGCCCTTCAAGGAGCTCCGCCAAGGACCGCAGTCCATCCAGGGCGTACCTAGCTGGATCTGGATGCTATGGCTTGTGGATACCCCAGGTCTGAGTGGCTCGGAATTCTCTTGTTATGTGTACAATGTGGGGCCCCCAAGATAGCTAAGTTGGTTTATAAAGCCCCATGGCCCATAACTATAGTTCTAAGTACCATAAACCATAGTGAAATTGGAGTTGTAAACCAACTTAGCTATCTTGGGGGCCCCACATTGTAGTTTTGGGACATTGTAGAATCTGATCTGGTTGGTGGTTGGCCTACCCCTCTGAAAAATGATGGACTTAAAGTCAGTTGGGATGATGACATTCCCAATTTTGATGGGAAAGTCATAATCCATTCATGTTCCAAACCACCAACCAGTGATTCTAAAGATAGTGCAGAATTCCCAAACTCTATTTTTTGGGGGTCGTCACAACTTTGGGACTGCCGCGATCATCATCCGATCATCCCCCAACGGCGGCCCCAACGGCGTCAGGGTGCGCAGTCCAAACGCCATTCTCCATCAGCTGTGGCCTTGCAAGTCATTGGGACGTTGGGACGGAGTCATAATCCAAATACGTAAGGGGCCGACGTTGGGATATATACTTGAAACATATTAGTGAAACATATCTAAAATATGTAGAAAAGGGAAACAATGCTCAGTAGGGAGCTGAAAAATAATCTGGAACCATCAACTTCTCATTGATTTATTTCTGACAACAAAATGAAAGGGTCAGGAAGACTCAAAGATTCATGGCGGTTCCGTGGCTTTGTGATCTGATACATTTCTTGCATCCTGCAACAAACCCTCTTAGAACTGGTCGCCGTGTGACAGCAAGTCAGACTTTGTACTGTTTGCTCAGCCATGCAAAGCCCATCCCAGGAAATCAGGACATGTTCTTTTTGAAATGTACAGCCCAACTCAAAGAATTCAGACAACATTCGACCATCTCCCAAAAATCTGCCAAACTTGGTCTACTGGAGCAGTGTTCAAAACGAGTTGTGCCGTCATCTGTGTCGTCCCCAATATATTGGATAGTATAATCCCCGAACTAATCATCAACCAAGAGGCAGAGGTTTAGCAGTCCAATTGTTGTTGAGAACCCATACAGAATCCCCCATCGCAACTGAGGCGGCCAGCTGATCAGCATGGCACAGCAGAGCGGCCTCAGGGCCAATGGAGTTCCCAACATATTTTGTCAGATGGGTTGTTTGGCATTTTGGGGGGGATTTGGTCGGACATGTATGGAAATTGTATTCATGTTCTTGTCCATTTCTTGGGATTTTAAGGAAGTTTGTTAGTTTTACTTTTTTTTGATAAAGCCCTGATGAACATGGATGTCCAGCTGTTTTTGACTTGCTCGAATCTGCTTGCATCAGCTTGATATCTTTGTCCATTGTTGAACTTTCCATGTTTCTGTTGTCTAAGCGGGGGTCTATAGACTGGTTGCCTGGACTTTTCTGGCTACTGGTTAAGTGGAGATGACCAACTGTTTCATGAGCAAACACTGTCCAAACACATCAGAAAGCCATCAATGACCAACCAATAACCAACCTGCTCCCCCAAGTTTCAGGTCAGACAATGGAGTTGTCCCAGGTTTGCCCATACCGAGACTGGGCAGGCATTCCCGTGATGGGCAAAAGTATGCGATGCCCACCTACACCGAATGGTGTTCAAAGATTGTCTCCAAAATAAATTGCTCGTTTTGGCAAAGATTTCAACCTACAAATCAAATCTTGAATCTCCCGGACCCTTTGGGAAACCCCGGCTCTCAAAGCAGCCACACCGCCTGCGTGAACGATCCACGCCTGAAAAAGGCACGAACTGGTCAGGACGGTGACTGAGCGGAACCCACTCTTGGGCATGATTTAGTAAGAGACTTGGGCGGCTTGAAAAAAAAACTGTTGGGCATGAGTCAGGAGGGTGGACGCGATGAAACCAACAAGCAAGGCATGAGTGAACGCTCTGCCATGATGCTGAAGGTCATGGTGCTTAGTAACTGCAACCCTGGAATGATCACTTTAAAATCGTACATATAGCATTATAATAACATATATACAGTATTATATTGTTTATCATTATTGACATTACTATTGGCATCAGTACTACTAGTGCTATTATATTCTTTATTCATTGACTACACGGGTGATATCAACAATCAATATGACGCACTGAGTCATTGTTATTATCATATTTGTATGTGCCATACTTTATCACTATTATTGATGTCGTTTGATAATGCTTGCTATATTTATGATATTTTGATAATGTCTATTATCATTATCACTATTCTCTATGTATATTTATTGATGTCATTTTTGTCATCATGCCCAAGCCATTTTTCAGAGAACTTCCAAGCACGTCAATCCCCAACCAAATCGCCTTGGCAGTCTCGCTACCTCTGGCAACCTGGAGTTCCGTCCGGGACCCAAAAATGGGATGTTTTTTTTGGACCCAACTTTTCGGGTTGAATGATTGGAAAGAAGTTTAAACATAAAAATGTGCATCTTTTGTCCAATAATTTGTCCAATAAGTTTAAAATGTGGGGACTCAAAACCTGAGTTTCCCCGAGAAAAACATGTAGGAAAGGTAGGCTGCAAATTTTTGTACATCTTTAGTGGCTGAGAGTTTTGGTCAGGATCATGTCTTGAAGAAAAACGGAAAAACTCGTTGTACCAGCTGGAAAAACCCCCGAATCAAGGGAGGTTGCAACCTCTTACAACCTATGCTTCGAGCGTTTAGAGTTGCTTCCTTGTTTGCATTCGAGGTTTGTAATGAAATCAAAGCTCCAGTCTATAAACAGTTGCTGGAAATGCGGAGAAATGTCCTGGATACTGTCTTAGATAAAGATGTTGCAGTTTGGCATTCAACTTAGCTGGGTATCGCTCACAATGATTTATCGATTTATCCCAATGATGGCTCGGCTTAATAGGAGGAATCCATCAATTGGACCAATCCGCGGTACACAGTTTTTGACCCAAAATCACGTGCCCGTGGGTTGAGTCCACCACCTGGCATGACTCCCATGGCAGCACAAGTTTCTCAGACTTTCTCAAGCCGCTCAAGCCCTTAAAACTCTGCAAGTTCATCTTGGACGTCAAAGATGTCACCACCTTGAGATGGATTGCCCCATGCGACAATCGATCCATCAGCCAGAACTGCAGCAAATGCATCCTCTGTGGCCTGGATCTTCCGCACGTTCTTCAGCTGATCGTTGACTTCAGAGCTGTCACCGCCCCATTCGGGATCGCCCCAGGCAACAACAGAGCCATCGGCAAGGATCGCAGCAAAGGCATAATGCCCTGCCTGAACCTGCTGCACATTGATGAGCTGAGCCTGAACTTCGGAGCTATCACCACCAGATTCTGCATCGCCCCATGTAACAAGAGATCCATCGGCCAGAACCGCAGCAAATGCGCTGGTTGTGGCCTGGATTTGCTGCACACCTGTCAGCCGATCTTGAACTTCAGAGCTGTCACCACCACAGTCTGGATCGCCCCAGGCAACAACTGATTCATCAGCCAAAAGCGCGGCAAATGCACTACAGGTGGCCTGAATCTGCTGAACACTTGTGAGCTGATCCTGGACATCAGAGCTATCACCTCCACAGTCTGGATCGCCCCATGTAACAACAGATCCGTCAGCCAGAACTGCAGCAAATGCACCGTAGTGCGCGGCCTGAATCTTCTGCACACTCTTGAGATTTGCTTGGACTGCAGAGCTATCACCACCAGAAAGTGGATTGCCCCATGTGACAACCGATCCATCTTCCAATATTGCTGCAAATGCGGTGTCTGTGGCTTGAATTCGCTGAACATTTCTGAGTTGACTTTGAACTCCAGAGCTGTCAGCGCTCTGTTGGGGACCGCCCCACGCAACAACCGATCCATCATCCAAGATAGCAGCAAATGCATAGCGCGTGGCCTGAACATGCTGCACGCCTTTGAGCCGATCTTGGACATCGGAGCTATCACCTCCACAGTCTGGATCGCCCCATGTAACAACAGATCCGTCAGCCAGAACTGCAGCAAATGCATTCTCTGTGGCTTGAATCTGCTGCACATCGTTGAGCTGATCTTGGACTCCAGAGCTGTCGCCACCCAGTTCAGGATCGCCCCATGTAAGGACCGATCCATCGGCAAGGATGGCAGCAAAGGCATAATGCCCTGCCTGAACCTGCCGCACGTTCTGGATCTGATCCCGGATTTTGAAGATGTTCCCAACACACTCGGGGTCGCCCCAAGTAACAATTCTGTCACCTCCACAGGACCACAAGGCAAAGGCTCTTCGCGTTGCCGCGAGCTGTGCTTCCTGTGCAATCACTGTGAGTTGGTCTCCATTCTGGAAATCATCTGACAATAAATTGGTGTCAGCAAGGATGTGCCCCTCTGCAGTCGCAAGTTTCAAACAGCCCAGTCCAAAGGCTTTCTTGACCAAAATCTTCAAGTCCCCTACTTTGGAGGACGGCGGAATTGAAAAGCTCTGACTGTGACCACTTGGCAAAGCTACATGCACTTGAAGCATTCTATCAAGGAGCCATCAAATTTGCTTGGAACAGCATCTGGTTTTCTGTTTTCAAAACAACTTGAGCCAAAGTTCGCTCTGATTGGCACGTTCACCCAGGACATCCGTTGGCTGTTGACCCATCACCATACTAAGTGACCCAAAGCCAAGGGATTGGAGAGCTAGGCCCCGTGTGGCTCTGCTTTGATCTGGCCCAAAATGGACTAATTGTCGTCATTGTACGGGATCCTATTTTCAGACAAGTCCATTTTAATCCATTTTATGTTTTTTGTGACCTATGGGCTGGTCTACTTGGCAGCAAAACCAGAAACCATTCAGTTGTTGCTTTACCGGCTAGTGATCTCCAAACATCCTGAAGTCTGCTCGTCATCTTGAGCCATCATTCCATGGAAGGCTGAAAAACTGGTCAAACCTCCAACATGAAAATACGTTCCAGTCCTTAATCATACTGTTTGCAAGCACAGAACTCACATCCCCACCTTGTAGACCATCCAAACCACATCTTCCACCGCACTCGCGTTGGCCTCAGAGGGTTTACATCAGGTCCTCTTGCACAACCATGTATGGATCTGATTTGGAATTGATGCATATGGAAACATCATAACTCCAACACCCCAATGGCCCAACCCCCCTTGAATTCGGTGTTCCAAGCCCAACAAAAAAAAAGAGTTTCTCCTGATTTCTCCCAGTTGGGAACTGCCAAAGATCCCACAAAAATAGGACCTCTTGGGAGCCAAAACCTCGATCACCCCACGCGCCTTGGTACTTTGTCTCAAGGCTGTCAGCAAAAACTCCACGCAACGCTGGCCATATGCCTGGCGCGGAAAACACATCGCCAAGAGATCACCCACTATGTTGTGTGGTGGTTGAACAAAAGTACTGAGATTGGATGAAATTGGTGTGAAATTGGATACCATACCCTCTAAAGAAGTGCTTTTCCTGGCATTTAAGTGCTTTTCATCGCGGGAACGTTTAATTACATGAAATGCATTTCGGCGATACTAAAAGGAATAGGATTTTAGGCTGGCCAGGTTGCAAGGTGGTACAACAAAAAGTATCCCTGGCTATTAATTACATCCAAAAAACTCTGGAAATGGATTGTCCCGCAAGTCATACCAGCATGGAAAACAAAACACTCTATGTACTGTGAGTGTGCGAGAATATATTTCACTGCAAACCCACAGGTGATGGTGGGTACCGAATTCGGGACATCCCATATCAATATTATCTTCATACTTGGTGCAACGAAAATGCTGAAAACCTGTACAACAATGTTTTGTCACTTGATAGGTGATGCATTCACCTTTTCTCGGCTGTGACCTTGCAATAGTCTAAGGTGGCAAGGCAGAATCCCTACGAAGAATGCGTATGTTGCTGGATTTTCCAGAACTAGATTGGATCAGGTAAACGCAAGAAACCCGATTTGTTTAGCTTTACGGAACCCCAATTTCTTAAAAAAAATATGGTATGGTACCAGTAATGCTTGGGTCCACTACATTACCGGAGAGCAACACTCCTCCCAGCCTCGCATTGCGCCAATGCCTCATGTGCGACCTTAGATTCTTCGGGCCCAGAAACCGCAGTTTGGGCACAGAAACCGCAGGGTCTAGGGAATTCCGAGAGGCGTAGCAGGTAGCATAGAATAATGAATTATATTGAAGTATCACAATCTGCATTCTCTGATAGTGATGATACTTACACATACTTACACACAATATTCCCACAGATATATTACACATCATATCACTGTCATATCTACCCCCGCACACGTTTACTTCATCCGTGTATGGTGTTATGTCAATACCTTCTATGCGCCCGCATACATGCACCTATACACTGTCATACACCTCCGCTGGTTGTAGGAGACGGCCCCAATCCCCCGTCTTTACTTTGGATTCCTGCAGCTCATGAACCTCATGTCCGAAATCAGAACTGGTTTTTGAAAACCCTTCCAAGAACATGCTACATCATTTGCCTTATCTTATCTTATATCTAGTATATACTGACCAGCAACAGCAAAAGAAACATGATCACCAGCTGTCGAAGGTCCTAGGTGTGCAAAAGTTTCAACGGCAGAAACCTACCCTCTGGTAATGAAGTTTCCAACCTTGGTTTTCCTCTGAAAAATCAAGAGTTTCCATTGCCAGCTTCAAATACCTCTGGTCGATGTTTTGGATGATCTTCAGGGTTTCAAAATGGGCTCAAGTTTGTTTTCAGCCATCTTATGCTCGTTCAATGGACCAACATGCTTAGCCTTCATTTCCATTGACCATTGATGAACATGGATGAACTAGCATAAGATGAACACTAGTTCCATGAGATGAACATTAGTGTTTATCAAGGTTATGCTAGTTCCATGGATGAACACTGCTTCACCTTCCCGAGTCGTCGCAGGGTTTTTCAAATGACCAGGTACCTGCAGCGATGCGGATCGCAACTCATCGTGCTGGACCTGGCAGAGTTTTGATGAGGTGGCCATGGTTTTTCGCAGAAAAGCATCTAGGAACTGGCACAATGTCCACAGTATCTGTGCAATATTCATACATCGAGTTTCTCATCATAGATCATTAGATCATTGAATCCCTATGAATCCCTACTAAGCTGATAGAAATCCAATGTTTGATCCTCCTTGGGCTGGTTGGTTCATGCTTTTGGTGCATCATGGCGAATCCAACCCCAGTGGAGCACTGGTGAGTTACCTCTCAAAAAAACCTCTCAAGATGATTGGGAGTGGACCCCATGTTCACGCCCCAGTCTTGGATTCTTGGATATTCATAGAATTGGATGATGGGAAAATTTACAGGAAAGCCCTATATTTGATGGTTAAAACCATCATTTCCTGTAGATTTTCCCTTAAACCAATCCAGTGAGATATAGCATCTTTTTCTTCATAGGGTTTGTCTGAACACATGCTACACCCCCAAGGTCCACTGATTTGCCAGATGTGTCCCACCTGGCCAGCCACGCTGGCAAACTGCGCAACAGCTCTCAGGGCGCTCTGGGCACGGTCCTGAACCAACCGTACCCTCTGGTTCTTTGACACAGCCATGGAACATTCGAAATGGCCCAAGCATAGTTGGATGTTTTTTTGCCTATAAAACATGGTGTGTTTCTTGTGTACTTCTGTTGAATTACCAGAGGGTATATGGCAACCTGAAAAAAGGATAAAACAAGGCGGATTTTAGTAAACTCCGAAAAAAAAAATCACGTTTCTATCTCTTTGGGCGTTACTATATGGGATACTAAACAATCTAAACAACCAAACTGAGAGTAAATGGTCCACATAGTTGGCTATGACACTATGGGGTATATGGGTCTGTTTGAACACCCAGTACTTCGATCTGCAACCCAGGGAGGTTACGTGGAGTGCACTTCCAAGCAGGATTTCATGGTTTTGTCAGTGGAGACACCTCCAAACTGGCCATGAAATGCGGGAATGTGATGATAGACCACGAACATGTTCTACCCTCTGGTAATTTAACATAGCTATTGAAAATGGCCATTTATAGTGAGTTTTCCCATTAAAAATTGTGATTTTCCATAGTTATGTTAAATTACCAGAGGGTAATGTCTTGGCGTTCCGAATCTTGAGACAAACCCACTACTGACAAGAGAGTCGGGGTATGAGCCTTTCAGCAAAATAGCCGTGAAATGCTGGGTGCTCTATACTTGTGTGACCATCCCACCTTGTGACTTGCTTCAAGATGGTTGCGAACAATCTCTAAAAACATGTTCTGCCGTATCTCTAGGTTCAGTAGCAAGTTCCATTGGTTGAATTTCACTGTGGTTGAATTCTTTGATACTAGGATATACATGTGATGTACATTTGATATACATTTGATATACATGTGATGTACATTTGATATACATGTGATATACATGTGATGTACATTTGATATACATTTGATATACATGTGATGTACATTTGATATACATGTGATATACATGTGATGTACATTTGATATACATTTGATATACATGTGATGTACATGTGATATACATTTGATATACATGTTATGTACATTTGATATACATGCTATGTACATATACATGTGATGTACATTTGATATACATGTGATGTACATGTGATATACATGTGATATACATGTGATGTACATGTACATGTGATATACATTTGATATACATGTTATGTACATTTGATATACATGTTATGTACATATACATGTGATGTACATTTGATATACATTTGAAATACATGTGATGTACATTTGATATACATGTGATGTACATGTGATATACATGTGATATACATGTGATGTACATTTGATGTACATGTACATGTGATATACATTTGATATACATGTTATGTACATTTGATATACATGTTATGTACATATACATGTGATGTACATTTGATATACATTTGAAATACATGTGATGTACATGTGATATACATGTGATGTACATGTGATATACATTTGATTTACATGTGATGTACATGTGATATACATGTGATATACATGTGATGTACATGTGATATACATTTGATATACATTTGATATACATGTGATGTACATGTGATATACATTTGATTTACATGTGATGTACATGTGATATACATGTGATATACATGTGATGTACATTTGATATACATTTGATATACATTTGATGTACATGTGATATACATTTGATATACATTTGATATACATTTGATATACATGTGATGTACATGTGATATACATTTGATTTACATGTGATGTACATGTGATATACATTTGATATACAGTTGATGTACATGTGATATACATTTGATATACATTTGATATACATGTGATATACATGTGAGCTCCCCATTAGACTGAACTTCCTGGGCTATCCCGAGTGCAACCTCGCGATTCTCCAAAGACGTCCCACATAAAATGCCTTTCGCATGATGTTGGATAATTCAAAGATTGCACAATGATCTCGTCACCAGGTCAGGTAAATCCAAAAGATTCTTTGCCCGAAGGATCACAACAAGCAGGACCCCGGCTTAGATCCACAGCCAAATCTGGCCGCCTGAACCAGAAAGAGACAGTAGTTGGATCTTTTCTGAAGCATCCTAGACGCGTGACAGCTGCTCAGGCGAAAAACACCATTTTTATCCATTTGTTGCTTTTCCAAAGATCGTGCCAGCACTCTGCAGTTTCTTGAGGTCTTTCTTTGTCAGAGACAGTCCAATCCTTCCTTTGTTCCTTTCTTGCTTGGGGCGGCTGTGACCACAAGACGATGATAATAATTAGATAATATGATAATATATCATATTATACGATATAGTTGTTTGCTATGCTTGGAAAAAAACTGCTAGCTAACGATACAGAGCTGTATCATGCTGTATCTGTCCTTGACACTCTGAATTTGTCTGCTACAACATTATCTACTGAAAGTCCGCTATGAACCCTACCAGAAACACAAAATACACAAAATAACCGTTAAAAAAAATAAAACGGTCAATCCTTTAAAGTGACAAGGTTCCCACGGAGAATCTGCGCATCTAGTTTCAAGCCCTTCAATAATAAGTCCAAAGCAGCTGCTTGAACGTTCGTCCTATCCCAGGCTTGCCGTGACTTGCCATAGCCAGTGACCACGATGCAGTCCAACCTGTCCCTGACTTCCAGGCGCTTGGCGACAGTTGTGGACAACCACCACTGCAGTGTCAGTCGAGCTGCTCCTTCCGACTGGTCATGGAGATCGACCTGCAAATCTTCAAAAACTGATGATCCCCGCAGAATTCTCAGCAAACCATGCTGGAAAATATGTCCGCCAAGACTTTTGCTGCAGCCGATTTCTCTGCAGTCCAGCAACGCATTGTAGGTGACGATGTTGGGCAAGAGTTTTGCACGAGGCAAGGCCTCAAACAAGTTCAATGCCTGCTGCCATTGACCGCCCTTCTCACAAGCACTGATGGTAGCACTGTAGCTGATGACATCTGCAGCAACTGTGGCTTTCGGCATTTCCTCAAACAAATTCAATGCCTGTTGCCATTGACCACCCTTCTCGCAAGCACTGATAGTAGCGTTGTAGCTGAAGACATTTGCGGCCACCGTGGCTTTCAACATTGCCTCAAACAATTTCAATGCTTTCTGCCATTCACCTCCCTTCTCACAAGCACTGATGGCAGCACTGTAGCTGATGACATCTGGGACCACTTTGGCCTTCAGCATTGCCTCAAACACATTCAATGCCTGCTGCCACTCACCGCCCTTCTCAGAAGCACTGATGGCAGCGTTGTAGCTGATGACATTTGGGGTCACTTTGGCTTTCTGCATTCCCTCAAACAAGTTCAATCCCTGCTGCCATTCACTGCCCTTCTCACAAGCACTGATGGCAGCGCTGTAGCTGATGACGGTTGGGGCCACTTTGGCTTTGGGCATTGAAACAAACAGATCCAATGCCTGTTGCCACTGGCCACCCTTCTCACAAGCACTCATGGTAGCGTTGTAGCTGATGACATCTGGAGCCACTTTGGCTTGCGGCATTGAATCAAACAGATTCAATGCCTGCTGCGATTGAGCACCCATCTGACAAGCACTGATGGCAGCATTGTAGGCAAAAGCGTTCTTCTTTGTCCTAGCCTCAGGCATCTCGTGTAAGAGCCAGCACGCATCTTGCCACAGCTTTGACCTTCCACAAGTCGAAATCCCAACCGTGAAGTCCCGTTCATTCAGAGCAAAGATCTGATTTTGGATCGCAACAGCAAACGCTTCAATGATCAACTCAGGCTGTCCCTTCTCCGCGAGCATCTTCAGAGTCTCCTGAAAATTTTCTCTGGTCAGGTTCGGTCTCTCAAGATTTGGGATGACAAATTCTGACTTTGAATTCTTCGTCTTTGCTGGCCGTTTTCCTTGACTTGAGATGGGCTTCCACCTCCTTCGATACCAGGTCAGGGGAACGGTGCGAGTGCAACGCAGCATGGCACTTGGCGCGTGAGTTCTGGGCGCTTCTGACTCTAGCAGACGTAGTGACAGCAGTGGCATACCATATATGCCATATGGAATCGTATTGATTGTATATTTAATAAAATTTAATATGTGGGGTTATCCTGGTTTATCCAGAAATGGTGGACACCCCAAATTGGCAATTTTGCAATGATAAACCACTGGATTTGGAGGTACCTTGTTCTTGGGCAAAACCATTCCATTGGAGAAGCACCATGGGCCTATGGGTAAAATAGTGATTGATTGGAGTTCAGTTTCAAAATGCATGATGTTGCATGATGTTGCTCCCATTTTTGTTAGCTTTGTCTTGAGGATTCTTTGGGAATTGCAAGTTTGAGACACAGCTGGAATGAACAAAACCAAGTCTTTGCCTATCTACCCAGGCCAAATGGTTGGGAAGTGGAAGATCTTCCCAACGAACCCAACTTTGGTCGGAATCCTCTACCAGCCATATACTGTACATACGAAATGATAGCTGGTAGGTGGATGGTTTTTCCCTACATAATTAGGAGATCTTGGAATCCTAGAATGCCCGGGGTCATTTCCCACATAATCATGTAACAAGTAGGACTTGCTGAATCCCCCAGCTTCAGGTGCTATACAAACCTTGCCCACCCATCCCCCCAGGGCTAAGTCCTCAGAGGAGGAAACGATACACATGGCATGCGAAGCCAAAGGTTCCACAAAAAAATGTGAAGCCAACACGCCGCAGTGTCACAGTGTGCTGTGGACTGGGGCCCTATGGCTGAGGCCCAACACATAACCGATGTCGACTGCTTTTTGTTTCAGGTATATCAAGGGTCACCGATCTCGTACCCTGTACCACGTGCAACAAGAAAATGGGCTAAGAAATTCTGAGAATCAAACATACTTAATTTTGAAGTACGGCTGTTGAATGATGTTTTATGTAGAAGTTTTCCAGGCTCATCATCCTCTGTCCATGCTGATACGCTTCTTCCCGAGCGGAACGGCAAAACGGCGGGCGGAATCTTCGGACCTCAACCTACAACTGCGTGACCTTCGAGATATGAAATTGGATCCCATGGTGATCCCAGGTGACAACAGTGGTTTGGGCAGAACAAGAACCACCTGCAAGATACAAAAGTGAAAGACATGATTGTGACGCGTGGATGGACCTATTGTGCACTCTGTGAGAGGATTGATGCCCAATCTACTCCGCTGGATTGATTCTCTTAAATCTGGGAGAATGTGACCATGTCAGATGCCGGGAAAGCATGATAAAGCTGCATGAATAGTGCCATTGGGACAACATAAGATCATCCAAAGAGTTGCAGTGTTGCGGGAGTGTTGCCACACTTATCATACGTTGTGTCCTGCCGTGGTGTAACTCTGTACCAACTGCCATCTTTGGATCCACCACAGCGGCTGGTGTTGGAACTCTTTTCAATCCACGAAGCGATCAACCACTCTCAGCCTCACCAGTCACTCCTGGTGCGTCCCATCCATGGTGTGGTGGACTAAAGAAGGGATTCTTTGTTGATGGTTTTCTTTTGAAACTGAAGAAGTTATTGAATTCTGAATCTACTGGTTTCTTTTGAAAACCCAACCTGCCAAGATGGATTGGTGGGATTTTGCAAGCAAAGGACACTGCTTCAGTGACATCTTGGCAACCAGCAGTGACCGTCAGTGTAGCATCTTTGTCCATCCCAGGGAGGAATCTATCAACAATAATTGAGTTTGGTGGTTGACCTACCCCTCTGAAAAATGATGGAGTTCGTCAGTTGGGATGATGACATTCCCAACTGAATGGAAAAATAAAAAATGTTCCAAACCACCAACCAGATATAGTGTACCCAAAAATCCAACGGCTTATCATCATCTTCCCTACTGAATGGCCAACACATGCCATTTTTTGGGCCATACCCAACCATACCCAACTGGTCCCCCTGGCAGCCTGGTGATTTTGGAGCTAAGAACTGGAAGTAGGGGCTACCAGCATAGGGCCTCAGAAAAACAAAACTAAAAGGTCCCTTCATTGATTGGACCTTTAATGACCTTTAGATCTTTTCTCGTGTCAAATGCCATAGGATCAATTCTCCTTTGCTTCGTGGCCACAACGAAGCCCCAAAAAAGGTGGTTCATGTTGGATCAAGATGCAGGTCCAACCGGAGGCCAGCTCCGGTAACACAGACCATGGCCAAAAAAGGAACCAACTAATGTGGGTAAAACAATAATAAACCACCTATTTAGGAATGGTTAATACCACCTATTGATGGTGATTTGGGGGATGGTTCATTATTGTTTTACCATGTTTTACCACTCTGTCAGGTGCGATGGATGACACGCACAAATCACAGAAGTGCACCTGTATACCGCAGGCATTTTGGTTTGGAAAAGTGGCGCGGTTCTCAAGGGTTATGAGCCCAAGGAACCCTACTGCGCTGTGATGTCGAGGTCCCTTTCGTTGCCTAGCAGCAGGGATCATGCAGCAGCTGATGGAACTGGCATGAACCCGTTCTACAGTGAGCGGCTGCAGCAGGAGATAGCGCTTCATGAAAGAAGGCCAAAGCATCTTCCTGCAGATGATGATGATGAAGGGCGAGTTCCGCCAGTGCAAGATGGAAGGCCACCAACTGGGAAGGGTCGTGGCGGGGATGGAACTGGTTTGTTTGCAACACCCCCAAGCCTGGAAAGACCTACAGGGTTTGGCCAGCAACCAACCGGGATGCAATCTCAAGGGGCTATGCCAATGGAAACTCCACCAACGGTTCAACAAACTATGGGAGCTATGCATGGTTCTGAGAGACATGAAGAAGTTGGTATGCATGTGAAAAATGTGGGCAGTGTTCGCCCGGCAGTGGATGAACTGCAGCGAGACCTCGAAGTTGAGCTGGTAGACTTTTTGCGTCAACAGAACGCGCAGCTGATGACGCAGGTGTCTGATTTGAAAACGGCCTTGGAAGCTCGAGGTGATCAAGCTTCTGCAGGTTCGTCACCATGGTCAACCGTGGTGGAAGGTGAATCGTTTGGAAAGCGGTCGGCGATGGGTGCAAAAAGGTGGTCAAGTAGGTCCCCAAGACCAACTAGAAAGCAGGGTCATGGAAGTCCTGTCAAGCTAGCTGGGGATGGGCGTGTGAAAAAAGATGACAAGTTGCAGTGTACCCCCAATGGAACACGAATTCCTGATGGGCCTCCACCAATGGATGATGTTGTTCGCATGCCTTCATGTCCACCACCACCTGTGCCTCCGTTTCCAATTCCGCACACTGCGAATGCTGCGTCTGATATGACGGAAAAGATGGACCTCAAGGCCTATGAAGTCTGCCAGGACGGGCCACTGCGTGGAAGAATGGGTGATCCGGGTTGGAAGCCCACAAGTGAAAAGTCTCTCACACCCCAAGAAGCGAAAAGTGCATGGTTGGAGAGAGAAGTGAATTCTTTGAAAAAGGTTTTGGAAAAAGTAGCAACTGATGGAAACAGTTTTGAAATTTCCAAAGCATGGCCATTGAAAGAGGGTCAACAGTTTTGGTCGTCTGGGTTGCCACCGATGCCTGTCGAAGCATCGTCACTGGAGCAGCGGCGTTTGTTGCATGGTGAACTTGTTCATGGAGATCGGGCTTCTTTGCAGGGCGCTTCAACACTGCATGGCACTGTGCTTGGTGAACCTCAACTTCAAGCTCGGGCTTTGCATGGCGTTGGGCAGAGTGTGCATGGCGATGGAGCTCTTCATGATCGGGCATTGCATGGTGCTGCGCTTGGCGACGGAGCTCTTCATGGTCGGGCTTTGCATGGCACGGTTCTTGGCGATGGAGCTCTTCAAGGTCGGGCTTTGCATGGCACAGTTCTTGGTGAAGGAGCACTTCATGATCGGGCTTTGCAAGGTGGTTCTACGGCGATCCCTGGGCTTCAAGATCCTCTTCAACAAGGGCATCCTCTTCAAGGAGCACAAGGGCAAGGAACTATGGGTGTTGCACCAATGCCAACATCATGGGAATCTGCTGGTGGAGGTAGTGGCGGAAAGTTGGAGTTGCCAACGTTGCCAAATGGTGCCTCGCCTTTGGAATTTGGAGATTGGCTTTGTCTTTGTGGGCCAATCATGAAAGACTTATCTCATGTCGCTGGAAGATGGTGGGATTCAACGGTGCGGCAAGCACATGCCTTCTACACGGAATGGAAGGGTCTATCTCCTCTTCAGCGAGTTCAACTATGTCCTCGTCTTCCTGATGAACTGATGGCAAGTAGCTTCATCAGAACGGAGCAGAGGGGCGTCACTTTGTTGCTCAAGGCGGTGAGCGAGGAGCAGCAGAGGGAGTTGGTGGTGGATCGAGATTTGACCAGTACGGCAATTTTGTTCCGTCTCTATGTGCGGCATCAACCAGGAGGACCAGGTGAAAAGGCAATCCTCTTGGGGCAATTGACCTCACTGCAAAAGGCATCTACAATGCAGGACTTGGCTTCGTCTCTGAGAACATGGCGGCGATACTTTGCAAGGGCTAGGGAGGTGGATGCAAACTTGCCTGATGGAGTGCTGCTGATAAAAGCACTTGAAGCTGCGGTTGTCCAGATCGCTAAGGAAGATGCCCAAGCAGCGTTCAGGCTTTCCACAAGCCGACAACAACTTGCACTGGATCAACGTCCTACGGAGCAGTCAATTTGGAGCTTCAGTCAGTGTTTGTTGGCTGAGGCAGAAACTTTGAGCTTGCTGAAGTCCTCTTCTACAACGTCCACAAGTGCGAGCACACCGGTGAGACTCAAGCAAATGGATGCCGAAGCATCCAACTCACCTCAAAAGCCAGGCACTCCTGGCAACTATGGCAAGTCTGGCAAGGGAGTGTCAACCCCTATGGCGGAGCAACCAAGCAAGTTTTTCAAGAGTGATGGTGGATGCAAGGCTGGCAAAAGCTGCAAGTGGTCTCACAGTTGGGACAACATAGAGGACAAAGGCAGTAGATGCTGGATATGCGGCTCCAAGGAGCACAGAAGGACAGAATGCCGTGTCAAGGGTTCTGGAAACAAACCTTCGTCCAATGACTCTGGTTTGGGGGGAGGACGTGGCAATCAAAATGCAGCTGCAGCAAACAACAAAGCGGCTGTCAAGCAAGCTTCAGTTGGAAAAGGTCATGATGGTGGAGTTGCAAGCTCAACAACTGATCAAACCTCTTCTAGTACGTGCGCTGATGGTCCAGGACTGGGTGCTGAGAGTAACTCCCTTGGGACTTCATCTAGTGCAACCTCGGAGGTGGATAAGGGGGGAGCTCCAGCTGCCACTCCTGCGACCACTGAACTGTTGGCAGAAGCCACTCAGTTGCTGAAGTCTCTGCGTATGCCAAACCTGAAAGTGATGCGACTGTCAAATCTGCAACCTCATGCTCAAATGGTGTTGCTGGACTCTGGTGCAACACATGGCCTACGTCCTGCAGCTTCAGAAGAAGAATGGCAGTCTGGCACAAGAACTCAGGTGATGTTGGCTGATGGTGTCACAGAAAGCCTCCGTTTGAAGCCTGGCACCAAAGTTTTGCTTTCAGATCCTCTCCTTCGGCCTGAAAATACCTCTTGGATCGTTCCAATGGGATGCTTGAACGAGCTCAACTACAAGTTGGTGTGGAAAGACCACATGTGCCATCTCTACACAAAAGCTGGAGACAAGGTCAATGTGGAACTTCACAATGGATGTCCCTACGTTGCTCATGAATTTGGAGCAAAGCTGCTGACGGTGTTGGAACAGCATCAAATTCAACAAGAGCTGAAAAAGATGACCTTGAAGTCAATCTTGACAAGAGGGGCTGCCGGTCTTGGCAACAACATGAGCATTGAAATGGCGATGCTTGTCAAGCTCAAGGAGGTCATGCCGACTTTGCCTGAAGATTTGGCGTTGAAACTGGTCCCAGATCTCTCAGTGCTCACGGACCCCAACATCGGCTTGAACCTTCCATGGAATCGCAGAAAGCGAAAAAGACTCACGATGGCAAAGAATGTGATCATCCACATGTACAGTGGACCTGATGCTTCTTACTGGGAGCGGCGTTTGTCAAATGAGCACACTGAGGTGCTGTGCGTGGACTTGGAAGCCTCAACACCTTCAAATGCTTTGGATGAAACAACCTTTGCGTTTTTGCTTTCCTTGTGCGCCAGCAAACGTGTTAAAGCTCTACTTGGTGGTTCTCCATGCAGAACAACAAGTGCTCTCAGGTTTCAAAAAGATGATGGTCCACCAATTCTTCGAACAGAAGATCACCCATACGGTTTGCCATCATTGACACCACAACAAGCTGAATTGGTCACCAATGACTCAATTCTGTGGCTCCGGTTGATGCTGATGTACATCCTCTGCGAAGAAGTGCGTCCAAAAGAACAAGCTCAAACTGCATTTCTTTGTGAACAACCTCAAGACCCAGCGGAATACCGCAAGAAGGAGGATGTGGATGAGCACCAGTACTTTTCAATGTGGAGAACTCAGGAATGGAAAAGCTTCCAAGAAGCCTACAACGCCAAGCTGATCTCCTTTGATCAAGGGCCTTTTGGACACCCAAAACGAAAGCCAACCACTTTGGCCTTGATCAACATGAATGAGATGATGCAGCTACAAGATGTGAGAGGTCGTGGAGCTGAACCTGAAGTTGCTCCGCTACCAGAACTCAGTGTGAAAGAAAGATGTGCTATGTCAAAAACTTGGGCGGCTTGGGCACCTGGTTTGAAGGCTGCAGTTGCTGAAGCAATCAGCAGATGGATTCGCCGTGAAGCGCCTCCACGTGAAGGACCTGAAGATCCTGTTGGCGTTGTTTACGCCGATGATGATGTCCGACCTGCTGGTGTCGCTGCAATTGGAAATGTTGCCCTTCAACAATGGAAGCAACACTACATGCAGGACCACATGCCGGCCCGTCGAGATTGCAGCCACTGTGTACGTTCTCAAGGTCGCAGTCGAGCACATCGCCGAGTTTGTCATCCTGAAAGCTTCACTTTGAGCTTGGACATGTCTGGTCGGATGACTGGTGGCAAGGACCAAACTCCTGGCACCAACAAGTACTTCTTGGTTGGAGTTTACACATACCCCGTCAACAAAAAGGGGAAACCACTCTTGTTGCGTCCTGACCAAGATGAAGAGGAAGATCACCCTTTGCCTGGCCTTGATGACCCCGAGCTCTCTGGTGATCCTCAAGAACAACAACCTGGAGATGGTCAACCACCTCAACGACATGTTGAACGAGATCAACAACAAGCGGGCCATGAAGCTCAACATGAACAAGGTCTTCCTGCAGGTGTTGCACAAGATGAACCTGATCCTCTCCAAGAAGAATCGGTTCCTGACCTTGTGGAGGATGAAGAGGTGAAGTCAGCCTATGGAATGCACGACACTTGGATGCGCCTCATCAATGAGTCCAAGGATGTCACTGTGCGCAACCTCACTTTTGCGGAGCCCATTGCAGATCGAAATGTGCACAACGTGCTGCCGGCGATCGCCAAGATCTATGCTCGTTTGCGCTCTTTGGGTTGCCCTGTGTACCGAATGCATAGTGACCGTGCACGTGAGTTTTTGGCAAAACCTGTCCATCAATGGTGTCTTGACCGTGGAATAGTTCAAACTATGACACCAGGCAGTGCTTTCAAAACAAACGGCAGAGCTGAAAACGAAGTTGGGATGATCAAAAAAGGTGTCCGCACTTTGATCTCTGCTGGAGCATGCCCTTTGGACAGATGGCCTCTTGCGGTGCGACATGTTGGAGAAAGACGTCTCCGCAATCAACTCAACCAAGCAGGCTGGCCAGTTGGAAAACTTTTGAGGTTTGGCTCAAAAGCCTATGCCCTCAAGAAAAGCTGGCAAGATCGCTACGCTCAATGGCGTGATTGCCGAGAAGAAGTTGTGGTGTGGGGCCCCGCTGAAGGATCTTCTATAACCACAACAACATACTATGTCAAAGCAATTGCAACGGAAAGGTGCTTCTACACTGATGATGTGGTGATTCCTGCGGATGATGGCATGAATGCAGCTGTCGATGCTGGTCCCGGGGGAGAAGTTTTGCCATATTCCCTGAACGTGATGAAAGACAAGCTCAACCGCTTTTTTGTGATGGTGTGCCAGCACGAAGATTGAGATCAAAGACAGCTCCGCCTCCAGCAATTGCCACTATGTCAATGTTGCACATTGAGGGGGAGAAGCGCATCCTTGCAAAGTTTGGCAGTGTGTTTGAGTTTGCGCTGCCGCCTGACAATGAAGTTGCCTCTGAAGGTTCATGGACTTTGGAAACAACGCTTTCTCCAGCACAACAACATCCACCTCAAGAACAACAAGAGGTTCATGATGCTCCGCTACCAGGGCATGATGATGAAAAGGATGGTGATGGGGGGCAAACAGAAACTGATGAAGTTCATGATCAAAAGGAGGAGGAAAGTGATGTGGAGGAGGATTTGGGGGAGGCGCCTAACAGCAGAGACGGTGGCTCAAGCTCTGCGGCCTCAAATGTATCAAGAAATGTTCTGGTTAGAATGTCAAAGATACAAGCCCTCCAAACCATCCACGACAATGTCTCGGACTATATAGCCGAGGAGATCTGCAAGCTTGATGGCACCTGCCCTGAACAAATGTGGTGTCTTCCTGAGCTCAACAAAGCTCTGGTCAAAAAGGTTGAAGTTGAAGAACAAATTCAACTGCTTGCGGATGAAGATCGAGCTGAAGAACAACAACAGCTTACTCATGAGTTTTTGGTCACCAAAACGGTCAGCAACAAAGAGGTTCGCGAAAACCTTGCCGACTGGACTGAATCCATCAAGGCAGAGTACGAGCAGCTTGTCGTCAACAAAAAGGCTGTCAAACCAATGACAAGAACGGAACTCCAAAAAATGGCTGAAAAGCAGAACAAAACTTTGGAGATTCTTCCAGCGAAGATGGGTCACACAAGAAAAGCTGGATCTGGAGCATATCGCTCTAGGGCTGTGGTGTGTGGCAACTACCAGACACCGAATGACGACAACACGTACGCTGGTGGAGCTGATGGAACACAGATCCGAACCATGCTGAGGATCAGTGCTCAGTACAAGTGGAAAGCTGCTTCAACTGACATCCGCACGGCGTTCCTCAATGCGCCGAGAAGAGAATGTCTACAAGATGTTGGGCCTTGCAAAACCTGATGAAGTTTGGCTCATAGTGTTGGCCATGTATGGACTTCAAGCTTCTCCACGTGACTGGTGTCTTCACCGTGATGCAGTTTTGCCAACGCTGAAGTGGACAAGGCAAGGTCCAAATGGGTTGCTGACTGGAAGTTTTGAGAAAACAAAAGATGAGAATGTTTGGCGCTTGGAAGAACTGGATGAATCAGGCTACATCCACTGGAATGGCCTCATGTCGGTGTATGTGGACGACATCTTGGTCACTGGTGAAGAGTTTGCAGTTCATGGCGCTCTACAAGCTCTCTCTGGAGTTTGGACAACCTCTTCTGTAGAGTGGGCTGGTGTTGACAAGCCTCTCAAGTACTGTGGTTTTGAGATTTCTGAAGACGCCAAAGGCGATGGTTTTCATGTCAACCAGCACATGTACGAGCAGGAGATGTTGCAACGTTGGAATGTTGAAGATGGAGTTGAATATCCTCACTACAAAGTTGCTGAGGATCAAGAAGTTGAAGAAAGCCCTGACCCAAATGATATCAGGACAGCTCAAGCTATGGCTGGTTCTCTGCTGTGGTTGAGCTCCCGTACACGACCTGACCTTGCTCATGGAGTTGCAACAATGAGCAGGCTCATGACAAAGGCTCCTGTCAAAGCCATCCAGATCGGCACAACGTTGATGAAATACGTCAAGGGAAACCCTGGCGTTGGTTTGAGGTACACAACAAAAGTTCCTGATGAATGGGGCGCCCATGGCCAGCTGAAGGTGAAAAGAAGTGACCTGCTCTTGGAGATCTTCTGCGATATAGCCTACTCAGCAGGTTCTGGCCACAGAAGCGTCCAAGGAATAGTTGTTTGCCTGGGTGGCCAGCCGATTTGTTGGCAGACGAGCCAACAGCCTTTTGTGACACATAGCACTGCAGAAGCTGAATTGGTCAGTTACTGCGAAGGTTTGATCGCTGGCAAAGCAGCTGAAGCTCTGGTGATGGAGCTCACAGGTGTTACAGCTGTGATGAAAGTCATCTATGGTGACAACATTGCCGCGATTGGACTGGCCAATGGAACTACGTCTTCTTCATGGCGTACAAGACACTTGCGCATCAGAGCAAGTCTTTTGAAACAAGCGCTGGATGAAACTGATGCAGCTGGAGGCCAATGGAAGCTGATCCATGTGCGTGGCCTTGACCTGGTTGCTGATGGTTTTACAAAGCCTCTTTTTGGAGCTGCCTTTCAACGTTTTGTTGAAAACCTTGGCATGAATGCATCGTTTTTGCGGCCTGAAGACCCTGAAGTACGTGCGGCTCAAGTGAGAAGTCGTAACAGCCAAGAACGTGTTCATGCTGGTGCAGCTTCTGCAATGAGCTTTTTGGTTGGTCAGGCGTTGCTGACTGAAGCTACAGCTCTGGAGTTGAAAAGCGAGAGCGATGAAGCTGATCCGTTGTGGATAGCTGCGGTGCTGCTGATGATCCTTGGGGCAATCTATGCAGGCAAATTGACAATGATGTCAGCGAAGTGTTGCCTGAGACGATTGCAATGGGTCAACGAGCCTCAAGCAGTTGTTTCAAATGATGGTGATGAATCATCAAGCTCCGCTACCAAAGATGTTGAAATGAGATCAAGTTTGAGGCGACGCTCGGGCACTTCGAGCGGATCTGGCCCTGTGCAGGCCCTTTTGGCTGGTTCAAGCAGTTCTGGCCCTGTGCAGGCCTCTGTGGTGATGCATCAAAATGGAACTGGCACTTCGAGCAGCTATAGCCCTGTGCAGGCTTCTTCTGCTGGATCTATGTGCAGTTCTGGCCCTGAGCAGGCCCTTGGCGCTGAGTCTTCAATGAGCAGCGTGGTGTTTGGCCCTGTGCAGGCCACAAGTTCGACAAGTTCAATAACTGCTGAGCGTGCTGGCCCTGTGCAGGCCTCTGGTGCATCTTCGAGCAGTTCTGGCCTTGAGCAGGCCCTGAGATCTAGAAATGCGGCTGCTGGCGGATATTCTAGCGCTGGACTTGGCCCTGTGCAGGCCTCTTCTTCGAGTGGCGCGGATCCTCTTGCTGCTGCGGCTGCTGGCCCTGTGCAGGCCTCTTCTTCGGGCGGCGCTGATCATTTTGCTGATGTCCCTGGCCTTGAGCAGGCCCTGGCTGCCGTTGCGCGGATATCCGAGAGCGCTGCGGCTGGTGGTGGCATTGAGCATGCGCTGATGCAGCGTGCTGGCGAAGTGAGCGAGGCATTGCTGGGTGGTGAAAGGTCTGAAATGACTTTACATAACCCATGGAATCTTTTTCAACATGAAAATAGAGGCAAAGGATGGTCGCCAGCGCAGATGTCAAAGATGTACAAGATATGGCGATCATCCCAAAGAGGATAAAATGCCTTGAGCCTACTTACCAATTTTAGGTTCCTATTTTTAGGTCCTTTACTTTTTGTTCAATAGCTCCGCTACCAAAGGAGATTCAAATTCAATTTGGCTGGGTGCCAAAAATTCGAAGTTTTTCCTCCAACAAATCGTGCAAACACGATTGGGGGAGTCTGTCAGGTGCGATGGATGACACGCACAAATCACAGAAGTGCACCTGTATACCGCAGGCATTTTGGTTTGGAAAAGTGGCGCGGTTCTCAAGACCACGTTAAAGATGGTTCGTTCCATCCCAGACAACACAGTGCCCGGCTCAATGCGAAACCATTGCTGCGCCACCCACTTCTCACCTTAGGAAGGGAAGTCGATTTGGTAGCGACACCGCCATCACATAGGGAACGCTGAGAAAAATCAAGTGCGTCGAGCAACGTGGAGTTCGAATCAACTTGGACTCAAAAGCACCCTGTGTGAATGCTCTACTCTAGCTATTCTAGTTGGGGGAAAGCAAAGGGTTTGGGGTTACCCACAACTAGAAACAAGCCTTACCTCACTAGAGTCGTAAGAAAACTGAGGCATTGATGGTTGCTTCTTCCTGGTTACTTCCTGGTTACATTTTGGTCGTGAAACATAGGAGAGCTTCATCGGAAAAACATCTAGAAAACCATGATGAAAGATGTGGATTTGCCACATCTGACAGGATCTCCAGTTCTCCATCCCAGTTGAGCCTTCACGAACTGGGCAGGACCCATGCATCGACAGAGCGTTGTGCCTCACTAAAAAAACCACCGCGGATGTGCGTCGATCGTGGTCAGTGAACCCAATAGGACCGCCACATTACCTTTACTTCTGCGATCTTCTGCGCAGTGCCCGTAAATACCTGTATTGTAGTATTGACACATACAATAAGAAAGTATGGTTGTATGTCAAGACGATTAAATGCACACTGTTTGCATGACTATACAACAACTAGGGCCATGAATATTCGGCTGATTCTTTCTCTCCATACCGCAAATATGCTGGCCAGTGGGCGGTATCCCACGAAGATAGCTGAAGGCCCACAATCTGCATCCCCAAAGAAGTGTGAAGCCAAAAATGCTTGTCTTTCCAGCTAGGCCAGTCCTACACGTACCTGTATATACCTGTATTGGATCAAAAGATCTACACAGTACATGGCATACAGCAACCTGGAGTCAGGGCTACAGCTGGGCTCCTCAAAGACGGTACCATATCCAGGTGGACACGAGCCATACCCAAGCCATTCCCGAGCTGCCCAGACTGGCCATCCAGATTATGCGAGTAGAAGATGACCGCCTGTCCTTTTTGACCACGAACCTCGGTGGATTTAGATCCAGCCCTCGAGGAATTTGTCTGTGAATCATATGGCAGTGTGTCAAAACCCTGTACCCCTGTAGTTCACATCCAAAATAGCTGGGATTTATGGATGTGAATAACCCACTAAAAATGGTATAGGTATCGATCCATAGCCGCCATAGCCATATCCAGGCACGAAAATGGATCCCGCCTCAACAATGATGGTTCCAAAAAAGTAAAATCCCACGCCGCATGAAGCCGCCAAAAAAAAAAACTATCCGCAGGATTAGTGCAGTCTGCAGTATGTGCAGCATGAGTCATGTGGTTTACCAAAAATTGGGCATCTGAGACGCCAGCCCAGAAGCCCTTGCCTTCTCCTGCAACCAGCTCCTGGCTGGGCGCATCATCTTGAACAAATGGGTTTGTTTGAAAATGAGGGATACTCAAAAGCAGCCAGTTTTCCATAGGAAACATATGGAAAAAATAATGATAACCACTGGATTTTGCGGCTGCCCGATTTTCAGACAAACCCATATCATTCCATATCAAGCTGCAAGTCAGAAATAATATGAAATCATGTTGCTTCAAAGACTTGACTCATACCATCCCACCTCCCGTATAGCATGTGTCTGGCATTGAGGAGTTTTGATTGGCAGTGGCCGGGACATGCCAACCCAAGTTTTGATGGTGACACCCCTGTGGCCACTGCAGAAGTTCGCAACTGCATGACCAGGCGCTACTCAGGACATTGGTCCAGTCCTCCAGACGGTTGCAACACACTTCAAAACCATCCTCCTGGCAGCAACAAGTGCAGCTGCTGCCACCCTTCCTAGCTACTATGCGTGTGTTAACTGCAGCATGGGAGGTACAGCACACAGCCGGGCTGAGAAAGGCAGGAATGGGGATATGTCTTAAATGCCAGCCCTAGCCCAAGTGAAGGTCGCGAGCAAAAAAAAATCATGAAATGCATGCGCTTCAAGGAAGTCAACAAAGATGATTGGACTCTGAAGTGTTTGAATCTAGGTAATCCACAGCAAAAAGCAAATACAGTAGATGCAATATTTACATGGTGTCCAAACTTGATTCGGAATGATCGTGTCGAAAAGCAAAATAGACATGTTGACCCTTCACAGGCAAATCGCAAGTAGGTTCAAGTCCCTTCCAAGCGCAAAACGCAAAAGGCGTGGAAGGTTGATGATGGCAAATCTGAAAGCGTAAGGATTTGATCTTGACTACAAAAATATTCCCAAACATTTCCAAACAATGGCTGCGTGCTGATGCCACTGGTGTTCGATATTGACACGATGTGATTTCCGCCAAGACAGCTCTCCCCAGTTTGAGGTAATAAGTCGATTCAGGCAGAGGTGATCAGCCATGCATGTTTCAGGGAAGATTGGCACCCCACATGCGAATGGCTGGCTGTGGTTGTTTTACCAAAATCAATCCCTAAAGGACCTATCCGATCTATCCACAACTTTTGGAATTAACAATGACCAAAACCCGTGGTCACCAAAAACCGTGCCCCCCACCTGACACCTTTGGTGCTTGGGGAAGATGGTTTCTCCACCTGCCTGGCGGAAAATCCACCAAGTGGGTCCGTCAAAAATACGGAGAAAAGAACATGATATAGAACAAGATTCCATGGAAAGTGATGGAAAAAAAAAACATATTGAATATATTAAATCAATTTAAATCACATCTTGTGTATAAATCTAAGAAAATCCATAGTGTCTCCAACCTTCCAGCCATCTCCCCTTCCCAGAAAAGGTCCCCTCCCGACTCACGCAGCCAGGCTCCAGCCTGTGGAGGATCCAAGTAGACCAAGACCGTGACAGCTCGTTTCACGCCCTGCAACCTGAGCGTCGTAAACCGTCAGGTTGGGGATGGGTTGGTTTACCATCTGGCTATTTAACATAGTCATGGTATAGATGGCCCATAGAAATAGATGGTTTACCTATTAAAAATGGTGATGTTCCATGGCTATGTTAAATGACCAGATGGTATATCACCCATTAAAAGACAAAATTATGGCAAAACTGGGGATAAGGGGATACTTTATGGTAAATATGGTAAGTTCTTTTGGGGTCTACCGTAGGTTTACCGCACCAGTGCGGATTCTGAAGCTGAAGAGAGTTGGTTCAAATTTTGGAGGGTCAAAGATGACGTTTCAGTACAAGCTTTGCATGTTAGCAGATGTGGAGAGGGATGAACATGTTCCTGGGATTCCTGGCGCCCAACATTTCGCTTCAACAGCATGGGCCTTCGGGATATCAGTGGGTATCAAAATGTTTTCCCAATCATCTCCCATGATCCACTGCGCAGTTGCTCCCAGCAACGGTTCCGAATCAAAGTGCGTCTGGTAGAACTGGCCTTTCTGATAGCGACCCACCTGCAGGCAGTCGGAAAACGGCCATGTTTCGGCTGCTGGGTTTGTCCAAAAATAAGGTGTCCAAATCGGATGGGTTGACAATTTCTTTTCCCCATTCAAAAAATACATGTATCAGATATCGGGACCTCACCCCCATTTCTGGTCAAAGTCGCCAATCCAGTATGGTACTGCGGCAGTGGTCTCAGTGTGGATCTTCTGGCAATCAAACATCGCTTGCTGAAGAATCCTCCATTTAATGTATGTTTTCGGCATTTAAATGTCTGTCTAGTTGGGGGAACTTGCCATGTTTGACTACATATATGTTCTATGGGACGTATCATGTTTTTTTCAATCATGTCCCAGCTTGCCTTAATGTGTTTAATTCTGTTTATTGCTACAGTTAGCCTCTGGTAAACTGTCAAATAACTGTGGTTTCAGATCCACCATGTTGAATGGGAAAACTCACAGTATTTCCTGATATGGCAGTGTGTCAAAACCAATAGTACCCCTGTAGTTCACATCAAAATAGCTGGGATTTATGGATGTTCATTCCCCTAAAAATGGTATTTTCATAGGTATTGATACCATTTACAGATGATTTTCCCCATAAAACCTCCATTTATAAGGGATTTTCCAGTTCGCTATGTTAAATTTCAAGGTATTGATCCATAGCCATATTTCAACCCACCAAGCAGTCCCTCCCTGGAAAAACATCCCGCAGCAACACCGCCTGCAAGGGTTCTGCATGTCCCATCGGCACCCGCGCGATGCGATGCATGCGCTGCACGATGTCCAGGACAAGGGGGTCCTGGAGGCCACCCCAACGTGTCCCCAACGTGGAAAGCCCAAAGAATATCCAAAAAATGGGTTGAATATGGTTGAATCATGTTGAATCCCCCAAGAAAAAATTGTGACCATATGTGAGAATTTTGAAAGATGAAGATTTTGAAAGATGAATTTCGAGTTTGGAATTGCAATGTTTGATTCCAGGATTCGAAGATATTCAGAGGGTATCCTGCAACCAGAAAGAATGAAACTGTGCATGGACACCCAGGGCTGGTGCGGTCATACATTCAGAATTATTAGCATTTCCATTGTGGGCGGGTGTTTTTGTATTTGAACTGTTTAACTGTTTGGAACTATAATGGAAAAACTGCCAAGCTGATGAGGAATTCGATTGATGCCGGTTGGAATTGGGGTGCCAATATATTCGCACAAAATCACTGCAGAGTTGGCTGATTTCTTGACCATTTCGGCTCCCCTTGTGTCATTTTGTCGCCAAAAGTCTATCAGGTGACCATCTGGATCAGCTATGATCAGCTCAACAACTTAGACCAATTTCATCCTCGTAGTGCTCAGCACGGTCCAGGTAGAATTGCGAATTGGTGCGTACTTTGTCAAGGTAAGCCGCGCCTGTGGCTGGAATCGGTCAACAATTGCACCAGGAACAACTTAGGTACTACTATATGCTCAATAAATGTAGGTCCACTTGATACTTGGAAATGCCCTGGCTTCCATTTTTCAAGGAAGGATTTTTTTTTAAGAACCAACCAGTTCGGGTGTTCTAGCTTTGAGCCAAAGCCCGCCGTTGTCAGCGCTCCAACTTGCTGTTGGCGGCCCTGGCAACAAGCGAGACCCAGCCCATGCCTGTGCTGCGATTGATGGTTTGGGCATGGTGCAAGTGCGGCCGCGCTAAATCTTTGAGCGCCTGGCGCCAGCAGAGGCTGCAAGAGATTAGATCTGAAGGAGGCAATCCAAGGGACATAGCAACCATGGAGGATACTGGAGGATGGTGCTACTCATGATGGATATGAATATATGGAGGAGAAGAAAAAGACGAAGAAGGGAATGCGGAGGAGCGGAAGAGCATTACGGTGATCCAGGACCTGATGTCTGGTATATATCGCTAGGCCACTCGACCTGCTGAGGCTCGTAGTGAGAAAGACATCTCAGAGTGCATAAATCCACCCGCGCCATGACAGGATTTGGCCCAGGAGTCATTCATCCACGTCCAAAGCAGCTGCCCAACAACCTCACAATGGCGGCCTCACACTCCTCCTCCGAGAGAAACCTGTGGCACAGGGCGCATCCCGGCTTTTGGGGTTCAGCCAGTTGCCAAAACTCAACGATGTGACCCATGTGATGACTATAATAATACTACAACCACATAATCGCTAGGGTGTGTCTGAAAATAGGGTACCCCAAATCGACTGGTCGATTCGGTCGATCATCATTTTTCCTATTGAGATAGCCCTGCCTGTCCACCACTAGCGCCCGTGGGCTATAGGAAGCTTCCAGAATCTGCGGCTGGTGCGCATCCTGAGATCAAACGGGGGGCGGCAAGCCCAGTGCCTTGAAATTCCCCAAATGCTGGTGCCTTCCAGGCCCAGCAGGTTTCACCAAATGATATCTACAGATATCTACAGATATCTACAGTATTCATAGAATAAGATTAAGATAATTTAAGATATATCAATAAATAAGAATGAGTATAAATGCATGTTTTGAAACCAACAACCGGATTTAAAGTTCAAAAATAAAACTGCTGACGCGCAACTCTCACGCTGGAAATCTTCTTCTCCAGGTGCTGATACATTCGCTCGTGTAGCGCACCTGAAGAGCCACGCTGGTTAGATGAGGTGTCCATCTCTGGCATCGATGAGGCGATTACATCTTTCTCAAAGAAGTCAGCACCACTATCCTCACTCATTTCCATTGAAGCTTCAGATATCTAGCATGACAGTATGTATACGTGTGTATGGATTCAAAAAATTCTGCCCCTCCCCAAACAATCCATGTTTAAAAAACAAAAATAATAAAAACTATATCTTCAAATATCCCAAACTCAAAATAACAGCCATGCATCACCTGGCTTGCAAGCCACCTGAATCTCCAAGGCAGCTGTGACAGGAAGCTTGACACATCACCAGCATGTACTTTGGATTGGCCTGGCCATTCAACCCCACCCAAGGTGACCGTACTCGTGGTCGTTGGATGTTGGTGATCAGTAAAGCCTGAAACACAAACATTGTTGGGGGTTTCAGCGGGAAGTGAGCTTTCGGGGGGTGTTATCTATCTTTGTCCCGATTATTCTTGGTTTTATACGCCAAATTTTGTTGGTTGAATCAACATTGAGGGGGTTCCAATAATGGTGGTACCCCAAAATAGATGGTTTATAATAGAAAATCCCATTCAAATGGATGATTTAGGATGATTTATATAGGGGTACCCCATATTTCAGGAAACCTCCATTTGTGACCGTTTATTATAGGCTTGGCTGAATCCCCATGAAGCTTCACCCACTGCACCTGACATTCGCCGATGGCGGCCCAATAGCCACATTGATCGTTGTGGTCGTCACAGGGCCTCACCCTAAGTGCAGGAAGCTGGTGGTACACCCAAAATGTCACATTGAAGCCTCAAAATGCGGTCCGGAAGACTCCGGAAGATCGGTTTCCTATTGAAAAACTATGGTCAATGTATGTCAATTTGAGGTTGATGAAATTTGTGGGGTGTAAGCAAAAATTAGATGAGGTTGTGGAACCTGGAGCGACATCTTGTCGGACCACCAGAAAGCCTTTTGAAGCGGTTCTCATTGTTCGTGAAGTTTGCAATCAAGCTGGGGACCAGTACATTGGTTCCAAGTTTGCTCAAATTGCATCAAATTGAATTGGGATGGATTTATCTGCATTTTAAGCCAAATTTGCTGTAATTATCTGTAATTGCTCTAGAACGTGACAATTAAATGGAGTTTCCCGATTTTCCCTGGGTGGAAGCGAAGCAGACTTGTTCCAGTTATGATATATGAAGTCATATCCTATGTCACATGGGGATGGGTCAAAACCCTGGTACCTATTGAACCCAAAAAATGGTATTAATAGGTATTGATCCATAGCCACATGAATATGTTGCAATCTGTTGCATCCCTTCCTCGTCTTCTACTTTTCTTTCCTCAAGTTCCCACCGTCATCAACAGCAGCAGCAGCAGCATCACTTGATAATGGGGGCATGGTCCAACTAAAAGTTAAGCTCAATGGGTTTCAATGGGTTCGTCCATAAATGGGGTATACCATGGTATACCAGTATACCCCAATTTATTGAGATCAAAGCGTTGGGAAGGGAAAATATATAAACATTGAAATTTTATGAAAGTTCTGTTCTAAATCACATGGGTTCCTATAGGCTATAGATTTTCCACATTTCTTGGGAGCACCCAATGGTTCCCCCTCTCCACCAGTGACCATCAAGTCGCTCAGCTTCCGCAACCACCCACAGGGCGCGGAAGCTCAGCAGCATCCGGGTGCAGCGCATGGCGCGGCCACCAGGGAACCACCAGGGAACGCAGGGACGCAGCGAAGCAGGGCTGGTGGTTTGGCTGGTGTTGGGCGGCCATAGTTGGCTGGTTTTGATGGTTTTGGAATGTTTTGGCTGGTGAACCCAATCTTTTTTTGAAAGGAAAAGAACTGAAGTCAGGTGGGATGATCTTCCGAGTTGCCGGGAGGGGGGTTTGAAGATGGTTTTAACCACCAATCAGTGGCTCCTGGTTGGTGTAAGCTTGGCCAAGGGGATTGATATCTGGTGGTTCCAAAATCAATGGGTTGGATGGGACAACATGGGAAAACCTATCTCTGTCATCAAAGGGGCAGTGGTTTTCTGCAACTGTTGTTGCCCCCAAGTGATGGAAACAGTAGGACCCTTGCCACGGTCACAGTTTGCACCAGTTCATGATGTTGTTCCACGGCATGTTTAGTGAGATCAGCAGCTGCGAAATGAGGATCGTGTCACTCCTGTACATTGGACATTGCTTGCCCCTACAAAAATTCAAGCGCACAATGTGAAATGATATGAAATGCTTGTGATTCTTGGTTGTGCAATTTTGGAAACAGTTGGAACCACTACTTATTGCCTCCGCAAATTGAGGGGTATCTCTTCACACTCCTATCATGGCTGGTAAAGCCCACAGCAAGGACGGTGCAGAACTGGTCCATGCTAGCCTTTTGGTCAACGCACCTCAAAATGAGTACCCTGGAATACTGTAGCAGAATCTCTGCTATGTATATATATATATAAATGTACAGGTATACACCTATTACCCAAAATGCCCCGACTCTTCTGAAAACCTCGTACCTCAGAAGTTCGATGATATAACTTCTTCATGTCTTTGGACAAAGATCAAGACTCGCCAGCCCTGATATGGTTGTTTCCCTAGTATGACAGCATAAAATTTGGGGATGGACACCAGGGTCCAACTTTTCGACTCATTGCAAGTTGTGGGCTCGGTCCTGGACGACTGTCAGCACAGTCACAGGTCTGCTTTCCCCTGAACAGGTTGATCTTGGTGAAATTCGGGCAACTGATCCACAGCAAAATGGATATATATATATATATATATATCACACTTTTTGTCTATAATGGGACTATTATAATGGGACTATCATAACCACTCAAAACAGCTTTCTTGGGACTATTCGAGGGGAAACACCTTTGTCATCATCAAAATGGAGAGGCCAACCCCTTCAACATCGAAGATCCAGGTGTGATTGATGGGGAATCAGTATGCAAAGTACATCCATGATCGGAGGTTTATGGCTGCCTGCTGGGTGATTCTTCCCAAGTTCGAGTTTTTCTCTGAATCCCTGAGAAAGTTGACTCTTGGAGCCATTAGAAGGATCCAAAAGGCTAAAAAACAGCAGGTTTCTCATTCGCTGCTGCATCTTGCACCATGTGCACCTTCTTAGTCCTTGGCTCAAGATACAACCTGGCTAGTCCCAAGTGCCTCTGTGCACGCAACACCCCTTGCGTCTAGGCAAGCCCCCCATGAAGCCAGTTGATGAGGATCGACTATTGACTGTGGGTTAGATGGGTCTTCTCCAAGTCAAGGAGATCGACATCTATATGATAAAATCATATGTTATTATAATACTAATAATAATGATCATAATAATAAATAATAATAATAATATCACTGTTGGAATTCCCGTGCTCACATGGACTCCAGCATTCTTTAGACAAAAAGCGGTGGTCCACCTTGCACTACTGAAATGGCACATCTAAAGACCTAGGATGCAAGGGGGTCTAAGACCATCTAAAAAATCATGGCCCAGGCAACCAACTACAAAAAAATACAACAAATACAAATACAAAAGCGGAACTCTAAAAAATAGGGAGTCCATGTTAGCCATGTGGACGTCAACAGGTATAAAAATACCAAATGTACCCAAATGATTGCTTTACACATCGGAGATGGCCGGCGCACAACAGCAGTTTTAGCAAATTGCAAAAATTCAATCAGCTTGTCTATTCCCTCTCAAAATGCCCTCTCTAAAAAATCATGACCCAGGAAGCCTTTGCAAAAAATGGGGAGTCCGGGTTAGCCATGTGGAAAAAACACATGTTTTAGCGAAAAAAACTGTCTTTTGCGACAACCCGGGTTGTCCCATTCTTTAGTGGAAATTCCAAGGGGGATATAATAATAATAGCAGTAACAATAACAAAAATGATAGGAATAACAATAACAATAATAATAATAATTGCACTAATAATGATAATAACAATAATCAATTGTCACAGGCCTAAAACAACCAACTACTGTAGGTCCATTGACCGTTTCCTGGACACATTGTCTCCTCATCAACTGAGCTTCTTGGCGCACTCTGCGTGCTTCGAGTTCCACAGGGACGTCCCAAAAAAAAAAATCGGGGATCCCCCAAAGAATTTGCCGCCATTTTCTCGTTGAAGCAGAGCAAACATTAACAAGTCATGTATCTCCCGTGGTCGAGGCAGACACCCATCAAGTACAGTCATTGCAATGTTGATCTCCAACTCAAATCACGCAGCTATGCGCCGAGCGCCTTTGGCGGCGCTGACCCCTAGATCTCCTAGATCTGGAGCCCACAGGGTGAGCCGACTTCGGAGTTACTTCGGGCGGTGTCAAAATGTCGATCTCGGTGACAACACAGCAGAACATCCATTGGAGGTTCCTAAGATTGAGGAAGTGGACCCTGTACTACTATGAGGACAATGAGAGGGATTTTCATGGATTTGCATCACCCCAAAAATGGGGAAACATAATTAGTAACAGGGGAACCCTTATGGATGCACATGACAGTCGAAAATGGGGAAACATGGCATCATAGCAACCATAGGCTTTTACCATGGCACACGCATCCTTTTTGTGCAGGAATTGACCTCCTGTGCCTTGGGTGACTAATGTTAGTTTCTACTTCCGACACCAGCAGGTCTCATGCACCTGGCGCTGGGAAATGCATCTTGACCAAAGGCCAACTCACCATCACTGCTATCTCTGGATTCCTAGCTGATCATGGTGGCTTCTTGCTGATGGGGACACAACCAGTCATGGTCCAGACAGCATTTTCCAGCGCATCGTCATGCTACGGCAGCTGGTAGGTCACTGCGGAGCTGGTGTGGATTTCTGATGAGTTCACGGTGATCTATGTTCTACTTGCTGGTTCAAACCCATCAAGTCGTGATACGTGATACACATCACTATAAAAGCTATAGAAAGCGACATCTTTTGAAACCAGCCAGTGATGTTTCCAGGTCCTTCTTTCGGGTGTTGATCCGTCACATCGTTTTGGAAAACCACCCCGAGCTCCTCAGTTCTACACATCAGAGCTACCGAATCAGGCGCTGGAAGATGGCTCCGCTCAGGATGAACCTACTGCAGGGCGCAGTGCCAACTGACGGATAAGACTGGCATGTTTTTTTTCTAACCCGGATGGCTTCAGGAAGTACAAAAAACTTGAAACATTTGTAGATTTCTCAACAATCCTGAACAACATATTCAATAATTGACAGAGGCAAAAATCATGTAGAATGAACATGAAGGAACCTCAGTTAAATGTAAAAAATACTAAACCTGAAAACTCCTCATGTCCACCTCCGTACACCCCTAGCCGCAGAGGCACCTTCATGCGCCTTCCGAACTGCACGCCTGACCGAGGTGCAGAAAGGGTCGATTGTGTCCACTGACCCAATGGACCTTGATCTTGGTATCTCAAAGCAAGATATCCGAATTAATCCAAAATCGTCCATCAGAAAAACAATCCCAAATATTATAAATGACATTAAATGACCAAGTCAAAAAGCCTCCAGATTTGGAGTTTCCAAAAGTTGCTGAAGCACCACTTTGGCTTCCCTCATAGCGTCCCACCTCTGTTTTCGTGGCCGCTCGCCACCTGACAGCAGGAGAAGACGCTTTTTCTAAGGAGTGCGTTGCCTGAAAAACCAACCACTCAACATCATGTCGGAAACTGGGAAACAAAAAGTAGTAAATATAGTAAGAAATATAGTAAGAAATTTGGGATCAATCAAAAACCTTGCGAAACAGTGTTCTCATGTTTTTGTTCCTGCTACTTTTCTACCCATGCATTGCTTGAACCATCTAGGGATGCAATACAATCGCATCAAAACTGATGGCCTATAATTAGACAGAGTTTAAGGTAGCATACTCGTGAGCCAGCCAACTCGATAGAAGTGACTGGTGCCGGGATGGAGTTATTTGGGGATATACATCAAATATACCTGTGCGGGGTGAAGTTTTAGCGTAATTCCTTTACATCATGACAAACACTGAATACCTGCTCCAAAGATCTCCAAAGGATGGCAAAAGGTCTCAAGGTACAATGAGGCATGCGCCCACAATGGCCCAAAACCAAACACCCAGAAATGTTCTGGTCCACATCCTAAGCTGCCATTTAGAAATCCATTAAAAAAATAAATAACAATATATAATAATAATCCAAACATGGTTTGAACACCTCCCAAGGATCTGTGCATGTGAAATGACCCATCTCTCCCTGACCGATCTCAGCTCCGCCTCTTGCGGGAGCCCTTCGCTTCTTTGGAGACTTGGCAGTGGCGTCAGCGCCTCGCCAAAGACACCCCGATGGTTCCAGCCGAAAATCCCTTGGGCATTGGGGACGGTCAAAAAAATCGGATCAGGCTGCCCGAAAAAACGTTACAAGCCCCATGAACTATAGTTCACATCCATAAATATCTTATAACATTCTTATAACATATCATAGTAAAACTATAGTAACATCCAATATATAATAACTATGGTTATATCCTCCATAAAGCCAACAGTTAAGCAAGTGCCCTGTGGGCCCCATAATGCCATAAACAGACCTTGTAAAAATCTGTAATTGCAGAGAATTCCGGCTGGCGGGACGACCCCGGGGGCCTAACAACACCTTACTGTTGGTGAAGTGGGTCGTATATTCCCATGATCCCGTGATAGTCCCATGAAGTTCTTCGTCAAATCCCATTTTTTTTGGCGGTACACAGTACCCAGTAACAAACCATAACCAATACCTGTGGCCTGGAACACCTGTCTATAAATG